GTGAAAAAGTATATTTTAACAAAACGCATTTGACTAACAGGTCGAACAACAAATGTTCTTAAACCCTGCTGACTGCCATTGGCGATTGCCAAATAAACGGATCACAAGGTGTAATAAATGGATCTTAATCAAAAATTTAATACCAAACAGAAAACAATAAACTTATACAAGTCTAAATTGAAAACAAAGTTCAAACCTATATAAATGTTCATCCTATTCCGACTCTTCAAAATTCAAGAGTCTATCCTAAATTGAGGTAAATTATATGGCCTTCCAAATACTGTTTCGATTCCAAACATCACTGAAGAGACATTTTTTCTACATCTGGTGATCCGTTTATTTGGCAATCGCCATGACAGTCAGCAGGGTTTAAGACCACACTGTAAAAATGGTGTTTAGAGTCTAAACATAATCCTAAACGCGAATTTTGTTCTCACTTGAGCACATGTTTAACCCTAAACATGTTATATTTTGTGTAAATGTTTAGGTTTAGAACACCATAATACTGTCCCATAAGAACATGTTTAACCCTCTAGAACATGTTTAGCCTCTATGTGTTCCTTTCCTAAACATTTTTAACCTCCATCATGTTCCAATCCTAAACATATTTAGCCTCCATCATGTTCCAATCCTAAACATGTTTAGCCTCCTTTATGTTCCCATCCTAAACATGTTTAGCGGGCATATTTGTGCTCAAGTACTGGTTGTAAATACGTATGTGACAAGAGTCATCCCATCAATCATCAAAGACCATTCAATTACTCCAAAACTGATCTACTGTCGGTGTCTAACATTACATTGGAATCTTTAGATGTGCAAGCAGTTGCAACCTGAAACAGATTAAAACAATCCACAAAGTATCATGTTTAAAATACCTCAATTTTAATAGTACAGAAAGTGTTGGTACACGCGTGTCATTTTCTGTCTAATTGCTTCAATACTATACACGTTTCATATACTTTATTACAAGAATTATAATTAAATGTGCTTTATTTTATCCTTTAAGATATATATGTAGTTTTGATATGCAAACTGGGAAGACGTAAGTGGGTTCAGAACCTTATCGTTGTAAAATATTTGCTTAAATATAATTATACAATACGTTTATTTGCGATTCCTTTTATAAATAATTTAAAGAAAACGTGAATCCATATGTGTAGATTTAAAACAAATTTAAAATAGTATGCCTCCCCCTTTTTGTCAATATTGTATCTAGCCTTGTGGTGTTTGAAATTTCCTGTAAGGACACTCTCTAGCTTCACCTAATTACATTGTAATAGACAATAATATTAGATAATACTTATCTGACATTTCCGTTGTCGCTTTTTGAACCTTCCATGACATGGATTGTTGATCTTCTGCATCCCGGAATTTCAATTTTTCAAATGCATGATTATTTGCGCACGCGCCAATTCTGCTTCCTATTGTTTGTTGTGTTCTAAACCTAAACATGTTTAGGCACATGTCATGTTTAGCTTATAGTTATATATAACTTCAAGTGTCTTGTGTTCTAGCCCTAAACATGTTTAGAGGAATATCACGTTTAACATTGAAGTGTTTAGAATTAGAACACAATCCTAAACATGTGATCAAAGTGTTCTATCTCTAAACTCCTTTTTTACAGTGCATCCGTTGTTGGACCTGCTAGTCAATTGCGTTTTGTTAAAATATACTTTTTCACTTTTTTGGTCTTTTGGAAAATGCTGTTTGTGCTGTATTTAGACCCCTCTACCAAGAAATTTGTTTTGCATGCACACGTATAAAAATTGCGGTTTTTATCCGACGCAATCATACATGTAGGTTTGAACGTTGTTTTCAATTTAGAATTACATGCATAAAATGTTAGTCAGGATGAACAATAATTATGAAACTTTGTGTGTCGGGGTATGTCTTAAGAAGTGTAGCATCGTTTCTAAAAAAAATGCCGCTTTCACCTTCATTAACTTAATATATGATGTTTTTACGTTCGCATTTATTTTTTAAAAATAAAATCAATGGCAGTTTTTTATTTGATGAGATGCCACCGTCAAGGACATGTATCTATTTGAGGGTCACAAGTGTTGTTTTACCACCCTGTATGTATTATGTAGACATGCATGCAGAAAGCTATATACCAGTTGATAGTTCGTCTTCTCGCGTGACATGCATTGTCTGCTGATATGTTTTTCAGTGTGGCCTTTTGAAAATGTTGTACTTTTGGAAAACGATATTAAATTTGTAACAAAAATATTGGACACACTTGTCAGTAATACATCTGAACCTGAATTATGTGAAAGTTAGTTTTTGAATAAGACGATTTTCAAATTGTAATAAAATGTATGTGAAAATACCTACACAGAATGGGAGATAACTCTTACATATACAATACATTTAGAATAAAACAATATTGTTTATGACGGTTATTTTCCATACGTTTCGTTGATTGATATAGTCGATCAATTGGATTTGTATTTGTGAGGTTTTATCAACTTTCCCTGTTTTTATTAACCTTGGAGTTCGGTATTTGTGTTAATGCTTTTTTTCTTCCAAATTTTCTGTATGACAACAGATGTTATTGTCATATAGCTTCAGAAGCAAGTTCTGAAACACAACATGTTTTCTCTTCAATGACGCATATATGTCATGGTATGATTATAACTAGTAAGTTCTCTGCTTTTGTCGTGTCTACAAGTGTCACATTTCAACAAACAATATTAATTTATGCTAATTTTCAATCAGTTATTATATAACAGGCATGTATATAGCATATGAACATTAAAACTTAACATTCGTCAAGCAGCAAGAACGTGGACGCAACGGAGATGACTTTCAAGATTTCCGATTTTCTGACAAGCAAAAAATTATAAATTGTTCCATAATAGTTTCTTATGAAAGATAAAGGATAAAGACGTCATTATGAAATCGACAAGACGTATCAGTGATTGACAGTTTAGTTGTGAAGAAATTGATTCCGGTAAATCAACTGATATTAAATCGATGTCGAATTACGGAGTATCCTACTTCATCTTTGTTTTATTTGTCCCCATTCTTTGGTATTGAAGATGAAACGCGACGTGAACTGAAAATAAATTTACGTTTCCTTTTGTTCTATTTTGGGTTGGATGCAAAAAGCCGTCTGATAGAATGTCAATATACATTTCGTTTAAAAAATGATTTGATTGAGGTCTCAGTAGACTTCATAGAAAGTATTTTTCTACGGTTTGATAGAACAAACAACCACATCGTTATTTAAATTCACTTCACAGTCTGAACCATAGTAGCGTAAACTTGGACTTAAATTCACTGCACAGTCTGAACCATAATAGCGTAAACTTGGACTTAAATTCACTTCACAGTCTGAACCATAATAGCGTAAACTTGGACTTAAATTCAATTCACAGTCTGAACCATAGTAGCGTAAACTTCGACTTAAATTCACTTCACAGTCTGAACCATAATAGCGTAAACTTGGACTTAAATTCACTTCACAGTCTGAACCATAGTAGCGTAAACTTGGACTTAAATTCACTTCACAGTCTGATCCATAATAGCGTAAACTTGGACTTAAATTCACTTCACAGTCTGAACCATAGTAGCGTAAACTTCGACTTAAATTCACTTCACAGTCTGAACCATAATAGCGTAAACTTGGACTTAAATTCACTTCACAGTCTGAACCATAATAGCGTAAACTTCGACATAATTTTAGCGATCATTTGCATTTGCTTACTTCGCTGCAATAAACACGACTTGACTTTAATATTTCTAAATGCAGGAACAATTCTTTTATCTTAAACAGAAAACTTTTTCGTGCGATTTTTTATTTTATTAGTTTTGTTGGCCGTCGATATAAGTTTCAAAAATCTTAACAAATCGAAATGTGTCACTACAATGCATGTGAAAAAAAAGTTGCTTCGAAGGAAATCAGGTATACAGACAATTGTTGTGATCTATAAAGGATTGTCCAGAATGACGTAACATGTTTAATACATAGTACTAAAATAATTTGAATTCCAGAAGTCTACAAAATGTTGAATTGAACACATTCCTTCTTTTTAGACCATCTAATTGCATTATGAAATTGTCATGCAATGGTATCTGAACGTGGATTCAAATGCAATCTTTATAAGACTCATACCTGCAACCAAATAATTCATCAAACAAATAGATATAAAAATTACGTAATAATCAATATCATTATGTTCTTCGTGGCGTGCATTTAACCCTCCCATCATAGATTTATTGAGTATTACATTGCTGAAAATGTCAGCTAATTTTTAATAGGTTTGAAAAAGCTATACATAAGATTTTATGGATCTTGAAATGAAAATTGTAATGTCTTATCTCCTTACACAGGTGTGTTGAAATGTTTTGTCATCTTCAAATCTCGCACAGAACTCGTTTAATGTCACTGATTTGTGATATCAAATACTGGTTTAATTTCCATTTTAAAATGAGTATTTGCTAATTACAACTAGTACTGAGCTTCAGTTCTAAAATAATCGTTTTAAGAACCAAGCGATTAGCTGACAGTTGTAAAGTACACTATACTATCTGGGATTCAATTTCGTTTTGTTTTCATCGTAGGATTTCTTCAAATAATACCTTTAACAATGATAATTAGTTATAGTTAAAACAGTTTTCCTGCTGGCATACAGTTGCATCATGCTACTATGAAATATTTATGTATTTATGTATTTATTTATTTACAGTTTGCGTGTTAGTGTGTGCGCTATAATGTGCTCGTAAGACATGCATTGTAATCTTATGGACGGTGCGAGGGTTTCACAACCAGTCAAGGTCGTCTAATAGAATAGTAAAAATAACCTTTAATTAGAATACAAAGCACAAATCTTCCGGAAATACTTCTTATTTTTCTACACAACTATAAGACCATCAGATGGCTTTAGAAGTAACAATCATTTATAATAAACGTTTGACAAATATAAAGCTGTTATTTTCCGGATTATAAAGTATTCTTATATAAAGCAATATACTATTGATATTTCTGTCATTTGCAGGCAGAGTACCGAGAAGAACGAATTATTGAACAATACAGAAGTTAAAGTGAGTAATTAGTCTTATTGTATTCTTTTTAAGGGGAGATGTAAAAGACGGGGACGTATAAATACGTAGAAACGTTATGCGCTAAATGGTCAGGCAAAAGAGACCTAAAAGAAACAGCTAAGTTCAAATAACTTTTTACGGTCAAATTACCCTGAGTGAGTTATGTATACCTGCAAAACACTACCATATAGATTTGCTTTTTTCTTCAACATCGTACTGAGAATGCCTCTAAAACTGAAACAATATTATTATTGTCGTCGAGCCTGCGACTTTTGTCGCAAAAGCGAGACATAGCAATCCTACATTCCGTCGCGTCGTCGTCGTCGGCGGCGTCTACAAATATTCACTCTGTGGTTAAAGTTTTTGAAATTTTAATAACTTTCTTAAACTGTCCTGGATTTGTACCAAACTTGGACAGAAGCTTGTTTATGATCATAAGATAGTATCCAGAAGTAAATTTTGTAAAACAAAAATCCTGCTTATCCGTATTTTACTTATAAATGGACTTAGTTTTTCTGCCAGTTAACATTACATTCACTCTGTGGTTAAAGTTTTTAAAATTTTAATATCTTTCTTAAACTATCCTGGATTTCTACCAAACTTGGACAGAAGCTTGTTTATGATCAAAAGCTAGTATCTAGAAGGAAATTTTGTAAAAACTTATTTCCTGTTTTTCCGTATATTACTTATAAATGGACTTAGTTTTTCTTCCAGTTAACATAACATACAGTCTGCAGTTAAAGTTTTTAAAACGTTTATTAGATTCATAAACCATCCTGGATTTTTACCAAAAATTTATAAATCTATAGATTTGATAGCATACTGTATTCAATTTTTACAAGCATAACTTTTTTCATACATTTCAAACGTTTTATTTCATTAACTGTAAATCTATTATGTGCATTCCCCTATCACACTGAAAACATAGACAACAACAAAAGTAGGCGAGACACTGGGTTCCACGGAACCCTTACAAATTTTTGTATATTTAGTGCTTTATATATTATGTAGGTATGCAAGAACAAATGTTTGTTCTTATAGTGTGTGTGTTTTACGTTCTACGATAAAGATATTACATGTACTTAAGGTACCATTAGGAAACCAACACTTAATCAAATTTTAGGATTTGCAGGTGTTTTACAATCAACTTTTAGGACTTACAGGTGTTTTACTACTACTGTACCAACGGGCAATCTTAGAATCACTTTATCACGAAGTCATTTTAATATGATATGTTTGTGAACCATTCTTAGTTCCTTCTTCATACGCATACTTTTACTTTAAGTACCTTAATAGGTAGCAGTCCTTCGAATGACGTTTTTTTTGGCGGAACAACTTGACGAAGTTTAAAGTCTTTGGCTTGACCCGGTCATAGATCGATCCCACATTATCCCGGACTCGAAATAAGAACTGAAATAACATTTGTACCTAAACGTCAAGGTGTATATAAATAATCTTTACCCATTTATAATGAGCAATGTCGAAGAAAAATGTCTTGGTAATAGTTTTTATTGGAACAATTAGTTGTTGATCGTCGTATTCCTGGCTTGGTACAATTACAAATGACATTGATGAGTTGATTCGGGTTTTACGGCGCGCGAAACTTGTATAACAGTAAACAATATGAATTTGATTAAGTTAACATTTTTGGTGATGTCCGTATTGCTCAGTCTTTGTTTTCTATGTTGTGTTTTGTGTACAGCTGTTTGTCTTTTTGTCTTTTTTCTTTTTTTGCCATGGCGTTGTCAGTTTATTTTCGACTTATGAGTTTAATTGTCCCTTGTGTATCTTTCGTCTCTCATTTAAAGTTGTCAATTGGACAGGATGTTTATATATATTTATACATTCTGCAATCCAACGGACACTACTGATACAAAAAGTTGTTGCCAGGCTCTTGTGCGTTTAGGGAGCATCGAATACTATACATGTTTTAACGTCCCCAATTAGACCGGAAGTGGAAGTGTATTCGTTTTACGTATGGTTCCGTCCTGGTTTTTGATATAAGGACTTATGAGAGTCTACCAGTCAGCTACGTTACAATGATTTACATATCATTTAAGTCGAAGATTCCGTTAACAAAATGTCACTTAAAGAACATTTAAGTTAAATCTGAGACATGTTGAATATTCCATTTTCTTTAGGTTTAGTATTGTATTTGAACTTTTTCTGTAAGCACGAACGGGGTATAGAAATAGGACAAGGCTTTGCAGTTGCAGAATGCGACCCTCCTTCCCTTCCCCGCTGGGGTATTTCGTTGGGTTTCCCGAGATGAATGAATACGAAAAAATATTGTTTTTCCGTGATTGTCAACTGCATATAGATTTACTGTTTTGCACCTACGTTAAATGACCTATTCACTTGAATATCTATAGTGTCATGTGCACTTGTCTACAGGCGATATATCACAATTGTTAATGCATCTGGCACAGAAATGGTTCAATCATATGTAAAGATAGACTCGAAGAAAAACACATTAACATTTGTTAAAAACGATGTTCAGCTATAAATGATACGAGACACTCATCAAAGCATTTAACATCTTGTTGCTAACGAGCTTCAAAATTTCCCACTTTTAGTTTGCGGTGTTGCGGATGCATCACTAACTACCGATCATTAATAAGCTAATAATGAGGTTTTAACACAACATTATCAAGTACTTGTTTTCATGTCGGCCGCCAACCACATTGGATGTTCAATGAAAAGTTGAATATTAAAGTTCTTTTTCCGAATTTTTTCATTTGATAAAAAAAAAACATAATTTTTACAAATAATGAAATAAAAGGTGTCATAAATCATGTAAAAAGTAAAGGTTCATTTTGAAATTGGTTCAATAAAGACCAGTATTTAAAGAAAATGGTACAATAAAAACTAGTATTGAAACAAGTTTTACCTTTCCAAAAAGGTACAGAGTGCTTCGCAGTATCATAAATTTACGTCAGGTTTTTTTTATGAAAAAAGAATTCAGAAGCACATGGTTTTTTTGTCTGATACTTTTATAATGTATTACATGTATTTCACTAACTTGAAACGCATTGCTGTCACCACCACCCCCCTCCTCAACCACTAGTTTTACCTATAATAATTCCATAACTACATTTGTTACAGCCTTTATCTATATTTCCGACACACTAAAAAGTGATAATTTAAAAAAGAATAAATCTTAACATGTTCATTTTGAGAACGTATTTTTGCTGATACTAACAAAGATGATATATCATAATACATGTAGCACAGCGTATACAACAGCGGGGTCTTGTGCCATTAATGAAGACGTCAAATACAGTGATATATGCACGCTGTTTGTTGTAATGTATATACAAAACAATAATCTACAATCATTGAAGGAATCTAGAATATCAGACTTGAAGGAAAATATCGACGATTGACAACAGTTAACTTTATTTCACACCTGCCTTCAATCACGTCTAAAAGGGTTTATTTAGCATAGTTTTTACCGTTTCTGAGAAAGATTGTAATTATAGTGTTGCCCTGTGTTCATGTGCTATTTTTGAATTTGTTATTGTGTTGTAAACTAAATATGGCTTGTGTTGCTCTTAAAACGATTAGAATGACAGTAAATCTTTACTTTTACAACATGAAATAATGTTACAGACCCCGATAGATGACTCAAATTAATTGGTTGCATTTGAAGCTATGTGAGGGAAAAATACTTCGAACTTGAAGCTAAACTGTATGTATTTTAGAGAAAGGGACTTCAAAAAGGGTCTTGCATAGTTTTAACGATGTTTCAAAGTTTGTAAAGTATCAATCTGTTTGAAACCACTTCATTTCTTCCGCCTTTTAAAAAACTTAAGGTATTAGCTATTACAAAAAGACACATTTAAAGACTGATATGGTGAAAACGAATGTCCTTCAAAATGTGTAATGTGATGTAGATTTGAGGCAACCAATCCAATAAATTGTGTTCACCCCTACACTGGTCGAAGTTTGAGATGTCATAACATGCTGTCACCGTTCAGTTGTACAGTATTAACCACAAATATGTTCTGTTTGTCGTAACTATAATCCCGTCCTCTCTTTTTCGTTTAAGACACACTATTGAATGTGAATTATTTCCGGATTTTTACTAGTCACTAGTGGGGCGGAACTGGAGTCCCCCTGGAGCACTTTCACTCATCTGTTGTTCTTTTCGTTGGGTTTGTGTTGCCTTTTTTACTTGTTGTATTTTGTAATATTTGATTTTTCGATGAATTGGTAATTTCTATCGGTAATTGTCTTGTTTATTCTTTACGATTTGAAGAAACGGTTCATTAAGAGAACCGTAAGTAGACTATTGTAAAAAATAAAATTACTAGCCCCTTTGTGACAACTGAACTTAATCATCCTCGAAGCCTTTAATACTTTTCAGAACCTACTAAATAATTTTCTGTTTTCTATCGAACCGTTCCATTCCTGTTTCGAGTTTTGAAAGTTGAAAATCAAACAATTAAATCACAGTAACCATTTTGCAATTATTTTCAGATGAGAGATTTTGAAAGTATAGATTCTGAAGATTTCTTGGATGAAGAAAATAATTTTTGTGGAGGAAAATGTATTTGTATGCGACAGCGAACTTGTATAGAAAAATTTCTGTTTGTTTTCCTGATTATTGCTGTATGTGTTATCATTGCTCTGATAGCGAAATCTTCTGGGAAGTCCAGTCATGCAGGTAGGCCTAAATGTAGAGAACAAGTGTATGAGTGAATTCTGCGAAATATAAAGTATTCGTCATGTATTTTGATAATATTTTGAATAACTATATATGTATATTACAAAATACGAAAGTTCTAAATTTTTGAAAAATATAGGACTATCAAGAATGGGTTTCACTAGCTTTGTAAGTTACATTACTAGCAGACAAACGTTTTATCCTTAAATAAAATGCAAATGTAAAGGATTTTCTCAAAATCCGCATCTTACTGATTTCATAGAACGTAAGTTACTTCTTTCCCTTAGTGGGGTTCTTGTTTAAGTTTTTAGTTTTCAGTCAAATTGTGGCTTGAATTTGTTCTGCAGTTGTTTACCGAATTTTCGCTATTTTAACAGTATGCCTAGTAAAATCTTAAATAAAGATTTATATTGCAAATCATTAAAAGAAATTCAAAATTGAAACCAAAACCTGATGTTTAAAATAAGGAACATTACCCATTCATGTACATGTTGCAATATGCAAGTCATCTAGCTTCGATGCAGACATGTTTGTTCAATACTCTAGAAGTGTGGGTTTTAAATGTGATGTCGTTTGATAAAACAAATGTTTTATAAGTATATATACCTTTGGTACATTTTCATTGATTTAGTCTGTGTAAATACAACTTCTAATATCAAGGATTTAATTTATTTTAATGGTAGTCTATATGAATCAATGTAATTTATACACATAAAAATAAGAATGTCATGTGTTGATTCTCCCTTGGTTACGCGTACCAATTTTACTAATTGCGAATCAAGACTCTTCAAAAGCACATTTTTTTTTCACTGAGAGCGAAAAGCAAAAAACAAAACGAAACCACAAAACGGAACAACATCAAAATTATAAACCATACCTGCTTTTTCATACCGGGATTCTTAACCACGCCCCTTCTAAATCCGCTATGATTTTGGCGACATTAAATTAACATAGAATATGTGCAAAAAACCGTAAATGTACTTGTGTCCGAACCTATTTACTAGGATTTTTTATTTAATTTTTGAAATATATAAATGATATAGCAAAGTGTGCATTAAAAGCCGACAATCTATTAATCAAAGCCAAAAATTAGAACTTAAACAATGACATGTACATATAAGAGGGCTGGAAAACCCAAACGGATCTGAAATGAAAATCAAAATTTTAACAGGTGAACAGAAACTTAAGTGCAGGAACTATCTTTCTTTGGTGGTGTAAAATTGTTGCGGCAATCTTGGTCTTTACATGTTTTGCTAAAATTTATATAATATCTCATTTTTCACTCAGAAGATTTTTCTTAAAACTTAACAATTATTGTTAAACAATTCCATGTTAATGATCGAAAAATAGAGTCGCCGAATTTGACGTTTATTGGTATATTTGCATCCATAACTCAACCTGAAATGATTTAATTCACAAAAATGAAACTTGGTGACCTTATAACCATTTTAAATCATTAAAACGAAAATTTATCTCGGAACAACATACATGTATTGATTTTAAATAAACATCTATGATTTGGTCTTGAAGGAATGGGATTTAAAGATAATTTTGAGATCTTTTTCACCATTTTTTTGTGTTTTCTTTTCTGTGTATCAAAACCCATGCACATTTTGCCTTTATAGTGGTAAAACTAAGCTTAATATACAATATAATTGTCTCTTTTTCTTTTAGTCATCTGTTTCTTCTCTAATGTTTTGTGTGTTTCAACAATTTAGTCTTCGTAGAGCTTCCTATTAGAGGTTGATGGTTTCTTTTGGGTACTCCGGCTTCCTTCACCTTAAATAATCCTCGCCGCCATGATATAGTCAAGAGTGCCGAAAGTGGCGTTTAACACTAGCAATCAATCAATACAACAATCAATCTTGGTCGAGAAGTTTTTTAATGCATTTATTCAGAGTTGTGTAAAAAGTGCACTACTAACTTTTGATATTGTAAAGACGTATATTTGTTACACATTGATTTGTGCATATAGTTTTTTCTTCAAGGTAAAATAACATTATTCTCAATCTGGAATTCCATTGGAATTTCCATGTGGCTTGATTAAAAACTTTCTTTTGTTAGCCTTGCATATTAACGCATTATAACTTGATGAGTGGAATATATTTTCAATATTGCATGTTTTTTTGTTATGCTTTTCTAGTTAATATTTGATAAGCACTAGCACAACCGGAAAACATTGAATTCAGAGTACACGCTTTCAAATTCATACCAGAAATCAATTTAGATAATTATTCTATCTAGAAATTGAAGTATTACATGTATTGAATCCGGTAAATATGGATATTGTTGATTGTTTATTCAGTGCATATCAATTTCATTTTATGAAACAAAAGTCGGGAATAAAGAGTTTAAACTCGGGTACCATTTTATCGAAGGTAAATGACTATTGAAGTGCTTACTTCGTTGTCTGTGATCTGGTTCCATGAAGCATGTATGTGTTCTGATTCAACAAATAAAGACAACAGTAGTATACCGGTGTTCAAAAGTCATAAATCGATTGAGAGAAAACAAATCCGGATTACAAACTAAAACCGAGAGAAACACATCAAATATAAGAGGAAAAGAAAGGAACAACAGGAACACTGAAGTGCAACAAAACAAACGCAAACATACATAGAAACGAATTATTTGATAACAACTGCCATATTCCTGACTTAGTACATGAAATTTTAAGAAAAAATGGTGGGTTGAACCTGGTTTTATGGCTAGACAAACCTCCCGCTTATATGCCAATGTTAAAAAATGTCGCTAAAATGACAACACTACGTGACAGAAATACAGCACATACACACGCAAGAACACTCATCACAGAGAAACGCACAAACAAATAATATAATAGTCGACACAACCTGCAAACCGCAGAACAACAACGAACATCTTCCTTCAACGACAGACACCACAGGACATCACAAACAGTGACGCACTTACGTAACGAACATGCAATCTCGAAATTTATACAATTATTTTCACAATACCAGCCCAAACAATTTTCATGACAATGATGGTATTGAAAAGCAATTTTATAATTATTTGGACTACAAACGATAAGAGATAACACATAATCCATTAAACCATAACAGAAACATCAATAATCCATTAAACCATAACAGAAACATCAAAAATAAATACATGAATGTTTGATGTACAAAATACCCAGACACGTCATATAGCAATGCAAATAAAACATGCATTTGTTTTAATTCAATGCAACGTGTGTGTTTTGATTTAACAAAATATGAATATTTTCTGATTCATGTGCATGTGTTCTGATTCAACAAGACATGCATGTGTTCTTATTTAACAAAACATGCATGTGTTCTGATTTACCACAACATGCATGTGTTCTGATTCAACAAAGAGGGTTTTGGAAATTACCTGAAACGATAGTTTATAAATTTGATAATGACTCGGGGTTAGACAAAGGACATTAACAATGTTTGTTACGCCTTATCATCGGACATGTTTCATCATTTCTACAGGATTAATATGACACTAGAGGAGCAAGAACAATCCTTTAACTCGTCCGAAACACGAATTCACCCTAGTCTTTTTGGTAGAGCCCGTGTTGCTCAATCTTTGGTTTATGGTTTACTGTGTAGTATTTTATGGACGGCTGTTTCTCTGTATATGTTTTTTTCTTTTGATTATGATATTGTCTGTCAGTCTTTGACTCATACCATTTGATTGTTCACATGTCAAGTTTCTCTCTTTTTCTTTCTTTGGCTCATACCATTTGATTGTCCACATGTCAAGTTCTCCCTTTTTCTTTCTTTGACTCATACCATTTGATTTTCCACATGTCAAGTTTTCTCTATTTCTTTCTTTGACTCATACCATTTGATTGTCCACATGTCAAGTTTTCCCTTTTTCGTTCTTTGACTTATACCATTTGATCGTTCACATGTCAAGTTCTCCCTTTTTCTTTCTTTGACTCGTAACATTTGATTGTCCACATGTCAAGTTTTCCCTTTTTCTTTCTTTGACTGATACCATTTGATCGTCCACATGTCAAGTTCTCCCTTTTTTATTTCTTTGATTCATACCATTTGATTGTCCATATGTCAAGTTCTTCCCTTTTCTTTCTTTGACTCATACCATTTGATCGTCCACATGTCAAGTTCTCCTTTTTTCTTTCTTTGACTCATACCATTTGATTGTTCACATGTCAAGTTCTCCCATTTTCTTTCTTTGACTCATATCATTTGATCGTCCACATGTCAAGTTCTCCTTTTTTCTTTATTTGACTCATATCATTTGATCGTCCAAATGTCAAGTTCTCCCTTTTTTTGGTACTTGATACATAATTAAAAACTTTGATGAAATCAGGAGAAATTTATTTAGATCTCATATCTGCAGGTTAGATTTGTAAAAAGGCTGTATAATGCTTTTCTAAATCGTTGATTTGAAACATAAATTCTGTCTGACATATGATAAAAAAATTTGTATAACCTAATTGAACTTTAGTAGTGGATTGATTAAAATTATTACAGTATTTTAATCATGACCATGAGAGAAGTAAGAATAGTTGTTATTCTGATTTCGAAGACATACTTACTAAACTTAATATAGTGGAATATTTTTAGCGCAAGGACGTTATTAGTATGACTTTGTTCGAATCTATTTTGAAAGAATAATATAATTTTTTATGAAAGAACGACATTTTGAAAACTCCAAAATTAAGAACTTATGTGAAACTGAAGGCAAACTATTTTTTTTCTCTTAATTTTTCGAAAAATAATTTTGTATCTTAAAAGTTTCAACAACAAAACACATTAATTTACAAAACGAAAACAAATCGTAAAGAACTGTTTTAGATATATTCATGCACTCAGACTTATCTAATTGATTTGATACAACAAAAGCCATAATCAGTTATTACTTTCAGATGAAGTTTTTTTCTGACAAAGCTTTCATGGAATGATAATCTGGTTTCCATTTTATTTATTAATTCTTTATTATGTTGTATTTTATTCTTATCCTATTGTCTTTCATTTAAAAAGATTATATGAGGAATAATTGGATTTGTTATTCTTTATGCGTTCCTTGATTACTTTATGTGATTACAAGAAACAAACAAATAAACTGCTTATTTGACGAAACGATTACATTTGTTGCAATGAATGCGTCAAAGAAATCCCCAAGATCTTTCTTTGTATTTTGTATTCATATCTGGTAGGCACTTGGTTATTGAAGCCTTGTTTTCTTGTTTTTTTTGTCTCGCCTGCAACAAAATTCGCGGAAGGCGAGACATAGGTATTGCTTTTCCAGCAGCGATGGTGACGGCGTCAATAATTGTTAAGTTTTCTGCTTAAGTCAGTTTGATAGGAAATACGTGATATTTTCTATAAAGTTGCATTACTATCAGTGCATGTCAGTTTGACGACTATTTCGAGGCCCTGCCACATAGGTCATGGTCCAGCGACTTTGAATAATAAGCAATTTTCAATGTTAAATTTTCATCTTAAGACAGTATGATAGGAACTCATTGTCATATACCAATGATATTTTCTATAAAGTTAGGTTAACTAATATGTGTACACTCGCATTCTCTAATTATACTGCACGAATAGCTGAACAAAGTTACATAAATTCCTACAATTCCCGTGTGTCATGAATAGATATATATGGCAATCACAAAAATAATCTGTATTGACACGAATTTTTATTGATTTGGTCATAATTATAAATTAACTATTTGCAAAACTTTGAATCGTTTGAAATACTAAGGATTTCATACCCCAAGGAATTGATACTGTGCTGTATTTGGCAAAACCTATTGGAATTTTGGGTACTTAATGCTGTTCAACTTCGTGCTTTATTTGGCCTTCTAGCTTTTTTGATTCGAGCGTCATTGAGTCTTCAGTAGACGAAACGCGCGTCTCGCGTACAAATTTATCAGCCTGATATCTTTGATGAGGTTTTTCACAGTTTTCATGGAATAAGTACGAATAAATGGAAAAGTAGGATAATGAGACAGCAATCCATCAACACAATTAAACGATCTAAACATATATATGATATTTAAGCAATTGAAAATGATTTCAGAAATTGACAGTATTTGCAAGACGAAAGGATGCATTGATGTAGCTAGTTCTGTACTTTCTTCGGTTGACAATCAAGTTAAACCTTGTGATGACTTTTATAAATATGCCTGTGGTGGATGGGAGAAAAACACGCCGATTCCACCAGGATATTCTTATTGGGACAGAACTCAGGAACTGGCATACAAAAATATGTACCAGCTTCACGAGTTACTAGGTAAGCTTTCTTGTTTGTTAAGTCATTAACAATAATCGTACTTGAATTTTATTAATTACTAAGTACTTGCTTTGTATTCAATGTGCTTCTCCAGGAACTCCGGCTTCCGCCACCAATAAAAAAAAGGACCGCCAAGGTATAGCCAATATAGCTGAAAGTGTCTTAATTCACCAACAAACAGAAATTGATAATGATAGCTTGACAAACTCCTCATCAGCATTTTTACTTCACATTGAACAAAAGTGAGTTGTAATAATACATATACAGTGGAGATCACTTGTAACCTCTCATTAGAACTGTCAGAATAATCTGTCATAGAACTGTTCTAAACTGTCATAGAACAGTTCTAACCTAGAACTGTTCTAAGTAGAACTGTCAGAATCAGTTCTAGGTAGAACTGACCAAATCAGTTATAGGTAGAACTGACCAAATCAGTTATAGGTAGAACTGTCAGGATTAGTTCTAGGGTAGAACTGTCTTAAACTGTTTTAGGTAGAACTGTCCAAATCAGTTCTAGTCGTAGAACTGTCAGCAGAACTGACCAAATCAGTTCTAACCGTAGAACTGTCAGCAGAACTGTCTAAAACTGTTCTAGCCGTAGAACTGACCAAACCTGTTAGGATTGTAGAAAAGTTCTAAATGACGTCACTGCAGTTAGGTCATCTCACGGTTATGGACATTTTCCGTAACGAGAAATGTTAAAAAAGTGCTGTGATGAGAATTTTTTAATATATATATTATATTCTTTTGACTTATTTATATTTAAGACAAAGAGTTCTTAAAACTGTTCTATGGATAGAGCTGACTAAATCAATTCTAGCCGTAGAACTGACCAAATCAGTTCTAATAGTAGAACTGTTCTAGTCGTAGAACTGACCATTCTAGGTAGAACTGTCTAAAACTGTCCTAGAGTAGATCTGTCAGGATCCGTTCTAGGTAGAACTGTCTAAATCAGTTTTAGGTAGAACTGACCAAATCAGTTCTAGGTTAGAACTGTTCTAGCTAGAACTGTCTAAAAGGTGTCAGGATGACAGTTCTACATACTGTCCTAGAACTGTTCTCCTGACAGATTCTGACAGATTTGATGAGAGGTTAGAAGTGATCTCCACTGTACGAATTATTGAAGGTATATACAACATATGTCTGTCATATTTGTTTTTCGTTGATTGTTTTGTTATAGATTAGGCCGTTAGTTTTCTCAGTTTAAATTTTTCATATTTTTCATGTCGGGGCCTTTTATAGCCGACTATACAGTATGGGTTTTTCTCATTATTGAAGGCTGTACGGTTGCCCATAATTGCTTACATCCACTTTATTTGAACTTTGGTGGATAGTTGTCTCATTGGCAATCATACCTCATCTCCTTATTTTTATATACTTGGGTTTGTAAACGAAATCAACCAACATGTTTAATTCCATGTTCGTGTTTTGAGCTTTTCATTTATAACGTGATTTAATCATGACAATGTGATAATTAGATTCCATGTTGTATTGAATCTCCGTTGGTTATTTTTATTCCTTATCTTATTAGTTTAAAAATCAATATCATAAATTATTTGAAAAATAGGAAATGAAAATAGATGTTAGTATTTTTACTCAATATGCTATAACCAGTTTCAAACCCATGTGGAAATTCTGCTTCATGCAAGTCCGTATATATGTATGTAAGCATATACTAGTAAAAATGAAGTAAAAACATTAAACACAGAACATTCTTATCTCGAAATAAGGAGTGATGTGAATTTGTTTTGTTCATAAAATCTTCCTTTCAAAATGTATGTATTCCAAACCTTGCAAACCATATTAGTAGAATTATTCGCTTAAAAGGCCAAGTTAGTACACGAAAAAGTAGCTTGAAAAATAACGAGAGAGTCTTATTATATTTATAGATTTTATGGCCATTAAATGGAGTTGATAATCTCTGGTAAATTATGTTTCTGCCTAAAAAGAAGAAAAATAATTGTGATTGTTGTTTTCTGGGTAATGAAGCTGGTTTAATCATTAATATCATTGATAGTTAGAATGTCTACTTGTTTAAAATTTAGGATAACATGACACATTTTTTTTTGTAGAATCGTATCGTGGCACATCCGATGCAATAAATAAAGCAAAGAAATTCCATGATAGTTGCTTGCATGAAGAGAACACAAACAAATCAGCTATCATACAAAAGTTCCGAAATCTAATAGGGCTGATTTCAGGAACAGAGACCAATTATACGTTTTCTATTATTCTTGAGCGGATCCATCAACTGAATACTTGGCCATTGTTTACAGTGTCTGTTGGTCCAGACGAATGGCAAGACGATACAAATGTCATTAAGGTGTGTATAAAGTTTAAAGAATGGTTTGCTTGAGAACATGTTTTTTGCTATACTCAAATAACCATTGTGAAAAAAATGAGATAGGAAATAGATGCTAATGAGACGAAGAAAGAAATTCATTTTCAACGCCACCAAATTATTGCTAGCGACCATCAAAACACTCGTTCACGCCTTATTTCCATTTATGATTGTTAGAATCAGCATGTCATGAAAGGCTATGTTAAAAACTTCACTGTCAACATGTTTTAATGGATATCAAATAGCAAAAGAGATTTACAAAATGAGAATTTATTCAGTTTTGACATCAAATTGAATTAGATATTTACATTTCGTCTTTTTTGATATTCAGATTTCACAAAGTGATATGCCTTATCCGATAGATGCATTGATAGAGGAAGAAAAATCACAGAAAGAAAAATATCTCAAATGGGATGCTAAACAAGTAAGATTTTTAATTGTAATAATATGATTTATATTCTTGGCATGATCCAGTTTCCTTTCGAATATTAAAATATCCTGTTTATGTGTATTTTATGATTTCTGATATTTGAAAATGTTATAAACAGTAAATTTTATCTAAAGGATGGCGCTTTCAAAATGAGGCTTTATTTATTTCAATATTCATATATTCAGGATTCTAAATGTGATGTGGTTCATATGTGCATCCACATTATATAACCCAGACATAAATGGCCGTTGTCAGATTTGACACAACATTAAATTATTAGTTAGTGGACTTTGGTTGTCAATGCTTTCAACAAAGTAATAGATTTGGCCTTACAACTGTTTTGATTCGAGCGCAATTGATGAGTCTTTTGTTAACGAAATGTGCGTTTGGCGTACAAAATTAAAATCTGGTATCTTTCATGATTTGTAGAAAACACCAGTACTGCTAGCGGATGTTTCGCCTTTGAAAGTACCAACAGCCCAGTAGTCAGCGCTTCAGTGCTGAACAAGCATATGTATATGAATATGAATCATATAAAGTGTTTAATTTATTTATTTTCCATGTCGTAGGTTAGGCAGAAATATCTAGCAGATATGTCTAAGACATTAAGGATGTTTTGGAACAAATCCGAGATTGAGTCTTTAAAAATTGCAGAAGATATGCTTGAACTAGAAGTTGAATTAGCTAACAAGGTAAGCGTTTAAAGTAAAAAACAGCCCAAAGATAGTGAGCACCCCAAAATGAACACAGTAAAACACTTGTGATTATGTAATGTGGTTCTGAATCATGTTATAAGTGAGAGGTATTGCTGAACTCATCATGGTCCCTTGTGGTATTTGCCAACAAGTCATCAGTGTGACCGTAATCATTCATTTACGTTGGGGATTAAATTATCTGAAAAGTGTTCATGCTTCTGGGTTATTATCCTTGATCACTATTTAGGATAGCTATATTGTGTATAAATACATATATTTTAGAAAACACGGATGTGTTTTTTGTTGCAAACAAATCACTTTTCCGAATTAATTAACAATAGATTAATAAGGAAAGAAAAACAGGCGCCAATGAATTGAGTCTCAAGTATATTTCTAGAAGTTTCGATCGTTAAAGTACACGATTACATTATGAAAAATAAACCATTTAAGGTAAAAATCTATGCATGAAAATATTTAAAAAATAATATCACTATACATTTTTTCAAGTACACTTCTCTTAACTCAACATGTGCATATCTGTTCTACCAATAGATCCTTTTCGTTCGGAAAAATTTGCATAAATAAATTAAATTTCTATATAATTTGTAAAACTGATATATTTCAAAACACAAATATTTGTTCTTTCTAGACAAGAAGCAATGATGAGATCGAATTCAGCAGAGCTGATGTGTACAAGAATACAACGGTAACAGAATTTCAACAGAAGTGTTCTATGGTATGTCATTTATGGTTATTATTTTGTTTTAGTATATTATACTTACTTTTTTGTTGAGTTTTCCGTTTTGTTTGAACCGACTGTGGAAGGGCTTTATAGCCAACCAAGGTTGTTAAACGCTCGTCGTGAGGTTTATTGTGTGATAGGTTTTCTTTTTGTAATTTTGACTTTTCATTAGAGTATTTCTGTATAAATGTTTAAGTAATGTACGTTTGCACAAAAATATCATTTTTTATTCTAGCATCACTGGTGAGTCTTTTGTAGACGAAACGCGCGTCTAGCGTACAAAATTTTAATCCTGGTATCAATGAAGATTTTATTTACAAATATGAACATGATTATGTTTAAAATTGAAAATATAAATGACGTTGATTGCTTTTTGCATGCATAACCCGATTTTCAAATATTGTACCATGTTTCAGGCTGCTACACAATCTTCATGTACATAACTGGAAATTTTTAGATCTAACATTCGACTAAAGTTCATATATATATATATATATATTTATATGGAGTGCTACAAACACTGTCATTAGTCAGATAGTTTATTGACATTTCCATTCGTATCTTGTACGATTTTTGCACTTTAGTAGACTGTTTTAGTATCTTTAACTTGAGTACTTTCCAATATAATTTCTTTGATTTCTTAGAATGTTCCTGCTGTTTTCTAAAATCATGGCATATTCACGATATAATTCTTTTAATTATAGATTGATTGGGAATTGTACTTGACTACATTAACCTACCAAACAACAAAGATTGTCAACACCGATAAAATAGTCATACTGCATGAAGACAAACTGATCAGTTTATGTGGTATAGTTGAAAACACTATACAAGACAACTCTAGGTATTGTGTAACAGAAAGTGAATATTATGTAAAGAGCCACAAAGTGAACATACGTAACATGTAAAAACATCTCTTCAGAGATGGTATTATGTTTAAGAAATATCCAATATTAATAGGCAAACATCGAAGTTTGAAGTGCACGAACTCTAAATTAATGCAGTCAGATCATATGCATTGATAGGACACACTTTTGTTTAACTGACGCATCTCCCATGTAATTCCAAAGTCATAAAAGTAGCAAGAAAGGTACAGGTAGATGCAAATGACGGTATTCGGCGGTAGATAGTAGATATTTAGACAAATGATAGAGTAAACATTTAAAAGTTAAGAGAAATACGGGTCAGACCCATGTCAAAAAAGTGTGTCTTTTTTAGTGGGCAGGTCTTCCGCGACCACCACACACCCGTCCTCTTTTCCTCGATTGATACATCAACGAATGAACCTTATCAATAATTGTGTTCTTATCATGAGCTACACAACAGGTGCTACATGTGGAGCAAAATCTACTTACCCTTGTTGAGATCATGAGATCTCCCGGTTTTTGTTTGCGTGCCTGTATGTTATGTAGTATTTTGTAGACTATAGTTGTTTGTCTTTTCGTCGTTCATTTTTGCCATGGTGTTGTCGGTTTTCTTCGATTGATGTTTTTTTATTGTTTCTTTGGTGTCGTTCGACTTTTTGGTAACCGATGGACCTATCACGTAAAAGTTCACACTCAACTTGTCATTTAAGTACGTACTTTAGAACATTTGTCAAATTAAATATCGAAATGTGCATCTAGTACAGTAAAATTGATACTGATAATGTTATTGCAGGATATAACTTGTTATCGCCTGAATATTGATGCAATTGGATGTTATACAGCCGCCAATTAATCTGTTTCAAAATGTGATTAAAGAGTTTACATTTATATTATTGACATTGTCATAATGAGGAAATGCTTTGACATATTGTATCAACTGATGAATGTATGTAGACACCATTAACTAGAAAATTAGTTAAGCCACATTTTAGAAAAGAGAGGCGAAAGATTCCAAAGGGGGATATTCAAACTCGTAAGTCGAAAACAAACTGACAATGACAATGGAGAAAAATGAAAAAAACGACCAAAAGACAAACAGCAGTTCACATAACACAACATAGAAAACTAAAGACTGAGCAACACGAATCCAAACAAAAATAGGAAGAGATCTCAGGTGCTCCGGAAGGGTACGCAGATACTCTTTCACATGTGGCACCCGTCGTGTTGCTAATGTAAGTACAAGCGAGGTAAAAGATACCAAAGGGACATTCAAACTCTTAAGTCAAAAATAAAGAAAAAGACCAACAGACAAACAACAGAACACAAAACACAACATAGAAAACCAAAGACTGAGCAACAAACCGGTGATAAGTATTATTCGGTAGGTCATATTTGAGGAAAAGAGAACGTGATTGTGGTTATAATTGAAACATATCAAGTCGTCATCTGTGAAACAGATATTCCATAACGGACAACTGACTAGTAATGGGGCCGTATTTTTCGAAGGGATGATTTCAACTTTACTTCTTGAAGCTTCGAATATCCTAAACCTTTTTTGCGCCCTCCCTATCATTTAAGTGTGAATTCAAAAATAAAAAAGCATCCCGTCAATGACTTCAGCCCATTGTTTGCATTTTAATCATAACAACCCAAATAGGACCAGTGTTAAATTAATGATTAGATTTTTTAACGGCTTCAAAAATTGATAGAAAAAAAAGGATATGGGGTATCCATCCATGACATAAAATTAGTACATGCACAGTAAAATACACACAAAAAGCAAAGGAACAGCATTTTTATTGCTGCTGTTCATCTCAAAGTCACAGTGGAGCCTTCAATAGGGAGCAAAAAAAATACACTCACCTCTGTGCAAGTTTAAGACGACCCCAAGCACCGGTTTGAGCGGAATTCTTTGCGAAAGATTCGGAGAGACTTAGTAAGATGTAACAGCACCAAATCAGGCCCTGTCAAAAAAGAACACAATAGAAAGTAGTACATATTTAAAACAAAATAATTCCTACGCAATTTTTAATTCATAATCTAGAAAAAGGAATATATATGAATTGTCTTTTTGTATCATTTTTTGACATAAAATTATAGAATGCAAGTCAAACTTATTTCAAAGAAACTCTTCTATTTAATTCGATTACATATGTACTTCTTTATTAGAATTTTTATTTTGTCAACATAACATTACTATCTTGGTATGATTTCTTTATTCAAACATTTGTGTATTCTAATATTGTATTTTTGTATTTTTGTAATTTTCAGTGTTCTTTATTACTACTTGTTAGTGCACGCTGTTCGAAGTTTTATGCCGTATTTTGAAGTATCACAATTCACAGACATAAGTGAACAAACAGGTACTTCAAATTTGTTATACGAGTTTCATAGTTGTTCTGCTTTAAAACATCATAGCAGTAGTAAGTAGTAAAAATATTTCCTTTAATATATCACCTATTAAAAAATAAAATATTTTTTGGGATTAAAACTAAATAGAAAATTCCAGGATGCTAATTTCGATGATCTGTCATACAGTCAGTTGTGCTCAAACATCATATAGAAAATCGAAAAGTTTCACTTTGGGTTTACTAAAGAATAGAAATATGGTCAACTCTTGATCTTCTTCCGACCGGCATTAAAACAATTGCAAAGTGGAGCGTCCGTTAAATCCGATGGCTTCTACAGAGAGAGTGCCACGCTCTCGGCAAGTTTAGAACCCTTGCGACAACTCTGAGAGAGTCCGTAGGTGGCCTGTTGCAAGGCTTAATTTCTGTACCTATCAATAATTCCTTTTTTCTCCTCTCCTAATTTCACGCCCTTCATCTCTCTCGACCCCCTATTACTGGACCTATATATTGCATTAATTGTTAATTTGTTCTCGTCCTGAACATGTGTGAAATATTTGCCACAGGATGTGAGCAAGCAACAATCAATAATCAATCAAAAGTTTCAAACACTGAATAGCAAAGCCAACCGAAATGATACCGCAAAGAACACCAAAATGACTAATTAGGTTAAATTTTACACTTTTATACCTTTTCATCAAAATAAAAACGTCACAGGTAAGAATATAAAAGTAATGTTATGCTAATACAAATGCATATAAATGAATTGCGCCAAAAAACATATACCCTCCTCAAAATTATAAACAGCCAAAAGTCAATTATGGTGCACGTGTACAGTATAGTTTCAATAATTTGCAGAATTGGAATTTGATGGCGAGTTATGGCGCCGATGCACTTTCTACACAAATAAGGCTTTTGGATTTGCTACAGCGGCAATGTACGTTAATGCAACTTCCCAGAATGACAACATCATACAGGTAAGTCAAAAAGAAAGTATTTGACAAGTTCTGAATTTGCATTGCATTATGATTTACATTACTTGTAATATATTGGTGTTTGCGACTTTGATGACGACGATGAAATCCCCCGTTATCTTTAGATACCATAAAAGTTGTCTGATCTGTAAATTTACCAATTGTTTTCTATTCCTGATTATTACATTTTTACTGAGTTTGGATTCGAATGGTGGGTGATGCCTCCATATCAGAAGACACTGACCCTGTCGACGCACCTGGTCTCGCTCCTTTTTGAGAGCACGGGATCAGAAATACTGTAATTTGAAAATATCAGATAAAACATTATAAGAAAAAGTAAATAAACAGTTAAATCTAGACCTGATAAAACAAACAAACTTAAGACTAAGTAACGCGATTACATAGAACTATTGGTTGAATATTGTCTTACATTTCTGCAATAATGTCTTTCTTTCAAATCTAGATTGAACAGCTAATTACAGATGTAAAGGAATCTTTTAAAGGATTTGTTTTAAGGAATGTGTGGTTTAGAGGAAATGTCCGAGAAAAGGCTACGCAAAAGGTAGGTAACAACTAAATTCTATAATCAATATTATTAATAATATGATAGTCCATCAATATTAATTTCTGATTTGCTGCAAATAAGTTTAATCATTATTTTGTGTTACGTTTCAATGATCCGTCAACATTTTCCATAATTTCATATTCATTTAAACTGTTGCGTTAATATATTTTATAATATTTAGAATTATAAACGTATGATACCGATTTTCGCGCGAACGGCACGTGTTTCATGGATTACCTTAACTAGGTACACTTAAGACCAAAACGATGGAAAGCCATTTGTTCTATAGCTTAAGGATGTACACCTCTAAGGAGCCAAAAATTTCTAGAATTAAACTTTTTTCTTAACCTGATTTTTGGGTTTATATGACTGTAGAAAAATAATTGGTGAAGAAAAATTCATATGGTGGTGCACTTCTTTTTTTGCTACAGCCATTTGAAAGTACCCAATTTTGATGATTTTCCCAGTTTTCATCAATTTTTACCCATTTTTGGGCTATTATCATGAAAAAAATCACAGTTTCACAATTAAACTTTTTTTCATACTTTCACTCAAGATGAAGTGGATCAATCTGAATAAATTTAACTTAAAAAAACTATAGGTAGGTGATAATATAAGAAAGTTTTATAAAATTTTGTTGCTTTTTCGTGTCAAATTTACCATGTTGTCAATTTTGAAATTTGAGATTTTTCTTTTTTTTTAGAACAAAAAGCATATTATTTCAACTTTTTTGTTATAAATGATTGAAAAAATACATATCTAAGAAATTTGAAAAGAAAAAAGTTGATATGGGATGTACATGTATCTGGTAAAATAATTTCTTGTACTCCTCGACCATTTTCTGAACATTTTGGCTAATGAGACTGACTTGATTGGTTATAAAATTTGAAAATTTTATTACTCAAAATGTGTATTGTAAATACACAATTTTTTCACAGAGTTAAGTTTGATTATAATATTTTTTAAATTCATTGATATTTTCCACTTGTATCACATGTTTTGGAAATAATTCCAGAACGAGATTTCAACGAGCCTGAAACGTCAGAAGAATACATCCTTAAGCATCCAAAGGGCTTAAACAGAACGTCCGAAACCGTCTAAGGTCAACACAATTGAAGTGCATTGCATTATTGCAGTACAAACGCATATTTTTGTTTCTTATACATAGTTTCTAGACAGTATATCCTTCTAATCAGTAATGTCGATTTTTGAACACATACAATTATTGTCTTATATAATCATTATTTGTCATCGTTCATTCTTTATTGTGAACTAAATAACTATTTATGACAAATTTAAAATTTTCAGCAGCAGCATCTAAATTAAAAATTGATAACAAAAGAATCTCATTATTAAAAGAAATGGATTGGAGTTGTAGTGTACAACGTTTAACGAGAATAATGTTCATGACTAAGCATGACAATCAGATATGAAACTTTCGATGATTACATGAAATATATTGAATAAATATTAATAAATAAGCTAATCTATAATTCTCGGATAGGATCTTTATGCCAATTTGTGTGTCTTGGGATCTTTTGCTCATGATGGTAACAGCAGTGTTTATAAGTAACATCAACATTGTTATGATAAATATTACATAAGTAGTCATATTTTTATTATTTGTTTCCTGTAGCTTATTCATTTATCAGGTTTATTTATATTTTTTTACATTTAATATTTATGAATTCAGACAATTATAACAGTCATAGAGTAATAAAATCGACATTGTCTGAATAGAGAAGACGTAAAAAGTAACTTAACTTGGTTTTTATTGTTATATGGTGTTAATTGTACTTATACTAACTCTTCCATGTATATATTAGTTTTGACAGTACATTTGATAGTAAAAATATATTTGCTTCCATTAAAAGGCTAGTTAATTCTAAGGAAGAAATGGGGTTGCCTTTGGAAGCTTATATTATTTGCATAATGATTTATAAAAAAGAAAACAAGGGTTACTAATAATATCACACAGTACAACACATCACACTAACTTAAATACCAGACTCCTTCGAAAAGATGAACATATAAACAACAATTGACAACTCATGGTCCAGTTAACCTGGTTTGCTAAAGGTACAAAATAAGGTGGAGAAAAACCAGAGTTACAGTTTATAGTTTAACACAGCAGCACAGGAAAACATTCATTTGGTTATTTTATGATTTAAACATTTTGTGTTGTTTAATCCAAGATGACCCAAAGTGTCTTACACATTCTTGGTTTATTTTACAGATTGACGAAATGTTGGACAAAATAAGCTATCCAACGTATATAATGAAACAAAGTTTTCTTGATCAGTTCTATAAATTTGTGAGTATTTAATGTGATGTATTAGTACTTTTTTGGCAGGCACTTTCTGTGACGTATTTTTATACCTTGTGAAGATTCGAATTCAGGTAGTGGACCATATAGGACACACTCTATGTTTGGTTTTATGCAGTAATATACTAATATATATGAAAACATAGAATTGGTGTCAACATGAATCACGCCCCCTTCTCCTTTCATTTTGAGCAGTGAAATCTTCAAACGAATTTTTATGGTGAACTGCAATCTTTCATTTATATGATCAATAATCATATGATACTTAACATTAGACATGTTAAATGTTTGTGACAAATTACATATTCAACACAAAACGAACATGAACAATCATATTAATACACAGAAATGTAGGAAAAACATGATTTATTTTTGCTGCCTTTGTCCTCAGTTTTAATGACGTCTTCAAAAAGATTTCATTTGATGAGATTGTTCATTGTTCATTAGTTTTTTTCTGTTTCCGAACATAAAAAGAGAGCAAAAGGATACGATGAAATCATCAAAACAATGTTTTTAGATTGTTCTTATTTGGAATATCTATAATCAACTATAAAGAGATAAACATCCTTCCGCTTATTTGGACTTCAACATGCGGGTTGACACGAGAGGTTCGATGAACATAACACATCAATTGGAATGTCGCTGGTACAAAACCAACCACTAAGTCTGTAAAAGTGAAACCTTCTCTGTCTTCATAACCATGAAATTCTTGATATAATCTGTGCACGGAAGATGTGTTGAATTTTTGTTTAAGATATTTCGTTTTTGAATAATCATTGATTTATCTGTGTGACGTATTTCTCTATTGAAGAGCTTGTGTCAATTATATTCACTAAATTTGATTTACCTGTGTGGCGTATTTCTCTATTGAAGAGCTTGTGTCTAGTATCTTCACTAAATTGAACGACTACTGTCAAAAGAGAGGCGAAGGATACCAAAGGGACATTCAAATTAGACCACGCAGTTTAGGCCGCTTAAACTTTGCACTGCTATCAACAATACCGTTTTATAATATTCTGTGGTTGTTATCAGTTGTATGGGGAACTCAATAAGATGAGAACTTATCAAATAATTGAAGACGTTTTCACTTTTACACTTCCCATTCCACTATCAGATTAATTTGACTTATTTATGGTAAAGGCTTCCAATGTGGACAAAGTGACTGGCTCTGTTATCGGAGCAGGAATGTTTGATATGTCATTCAGTTTAAATAAGTGTTTCTAATTCCCAAGATTTACTGTTAGTGTCGATGTTTGTTGATATGTATGAATCCGTTGTTTGATCGTTATATGTTGTTTGTGTCTTCTTTTATGTGAGTTTGAGAGTTTATTCCTAATTCCGCAGCTTATTGTGGCTTAAATGGGTTACAATATTGTATTTGAAATTTGCATCTGAATTTATAACCATTCGAACATTTTTATGATATTTTTTTGAAGTTCGAAGTTAAAAACTATTGGTTTGAAAATCTGAAGAGCTGGAAGGAGTTTGAAGTAACTACAATGTTTAGCGAACTGGGTAAAAAGACTGACAGAAAACGGTAGGTGGCAGTATAGTTGGATTAGTTATGCACATAGGAATGAAAAACATATCATAATTTCATTGCGTATTTATTAATGGCAATAACATAGAATTCGAAATAATATTAAGTTTTCAATTAATTTCAAACAAATGATTACATTTATATGAATTACATGTTAAACAACATAGTCATGATTCTACCATGTTGATATAATAATCAATTTGTAACATACTTGTTTTACCGGTGACTCTCGTGATGATGAAATGTATACATAAATTACTCTCCCAAACACAAAGGGAAAATACCAACGAGTGGGCTAATGAAAACCGATAAGTCGATAAAAATTTAGACAACACTATTGTCAAAAAGAGAAAAAAAAAACACGACGAAACGACAAACAAGTCCACCAAAAAACCTACACAAGAAAAAAATGGTTGAGAAACACGAAACCTGCCAAAAACCCGGGGTTGAACTCCAGAAGTGTAAACAGATCCTTAACGACCTGGCATCCTTCACCCACTCGAGAAGATCATCTTCTTTTTAACCTTTTGTCCATTATCTGAAATAATCCTCGACTGAGAACATAAACAAAAATAAAACATGTTTCTAGATTTAGGCTTATGGGACAAATGTATTTTGGCCTTTTGGCGTAGTTGACAATATAAACATGTTCAACATTTGCAAATATGAAGAAGGATCTTAGATAGCGGCAAAACTTGGACTTTGACGTGTCGTCGTCAATTTTGATATTTTAATCTAAATAAATGTGGTTTAGGTATTAGAGGTCATTTGAACTGAGTAGTCTTTAAAGTAAGGAGGTAATTTAGACTTTATTTATTTATGATGATTGATTGTTATATTATTTATTGTTTCCGTTACGTCCAAAGGCAAATGTTCTGTCAATATTCAGGACGCTTAAAAATTAAGTTAGTACAAAAAGTAGGATCGACCGGGATAACGAGCGAGTAATTTGGACTGCAACAGGTAAATGAGGGTATGTTCGATAGAGACAGAAATTTTACCTTGTAACAGGCAACTTGCGGACCCTTCAGATAGTTGCTACAAGGGTTTTTATGAACATGAAGAAAGCTTGGCACTCTTTTTACTCCACGAATTGGATTTAACGTCCCCATTCTGACTGTACATTGCTGTGTAATTACTTGTACATCCCATAAAGTCAAACAGACTCCCCATTTCGGGAATGGTTTTAATGTTGATGGAAAGAAGATCAGGGGATGACCATATTTCTTTACCATAGTTAACCATTAGAATGTATTTATAATGAAAGATAAATCAATGGCATCAAATTCTTTCTTAGAAAGTTTAAGAAAAGATTGTTTGTGTTGGGCAATATCGAAGGTGATAGATATTAGTTTTATTTTGTTTGAAACAGGCATTAATAACAGTTTGTATTCACGATACCAAAAGTCGAAAAAGCCATAAGCAAATGTTAACTTTGCACACAGGTGTTCCAAACTTAACTTTAGTACAATTTCATAAGAAATAACATGAAAATATACAGTTAAGATGCATCCGTTACATCATTCGACTTTTAAATAAATGCTAATGGGTTCCTCTTGGACGAACAGTCTTCTAACAGCAGTCCAATTGAAATAATATATTTCAGTGGGCACGGCACATGAGTTTTATGAAATAGTCAAAGAATAGCAAAGATCCCTTGCCTTCTTGTACTGCCATCATCTGTTAATTCATATCAAAATATCATTTCTAATGATATCATACTCTGAGTAAAACGTTATAATTCGCCATTACATTTCTAATCTTTGGTCGGATTGCGCTATTTTCAAATAATCCTTCGTAGTTACGATCATATTCTATAATCATTTCTCATCTTTGGTCGGGTTGCGCTATTTTCAAATAATTCTTCGTAGTTACGATCGTGTTCTATAAATATTTCTCGTCTTTGGTCGGATTGAGCTAATTTCAAATATTCCTTCATAGTTCACGTCCTATAATTTTAGCAGAGTGTGTTTGTCTGACATTTTTTTAAATGTCTCTAACGTCATATTTATGTCTCGCTGGTTGGGTTGATTTTTGGGATGGAGTATGTTCCTCAGTCTATGATAAATGTTTCCAACCACTTAGTCGATGCCATTACTGCATGGTGGAAGTTATCACGGGTGTATCAAAATACCTGTAGTCAGCATAACTGTACTGGCATGCAATATCATTGATACGTTCATTTTCTATAATTAAATTTACTGTTTGTAATAAGTTTAAATCACTGAAGTTTTTCTACCACCCAGGAATAAATGGCTTAAGACAGTTTGTAATACTCGGTTTTCAATGCTCTTCAAATTCGTTATCAATTTGACCTTTTACTTGCTTTAATTATAACTCCACTGATAGTTCTTATGCAGATGAAACATGCGTCGTCCTAGAAACTAAATTATCAGCCTGGTACCTTTGATATTGTTTTTAGACTGTATATCAGTCGTGATGAATTTATTACATACATTTATATGGCGTGATGGCATATGCAATTTATCCTTGTCAGCTTTCAGGCTCCATGGTGCATATTACATTTACGGGTTTTGTTTTGTGTCAGTGACTATATATAATTACATGAGCAATTAACAAATTTCAATCAGCCAGTTAAAAACTCTTAGTTTGAAAGTTTATTGCAATTTAAAAACAAAAATCAAAAATTTAACCATTTCTATCACTAAATTTTTTATATATGCATGATAAACCTTACTAAATCTTATAGTTGATCTCTCATATTTTCACGGGTTGTTTGCTGTTCTCTGGCTATAACCTCGCCTGATGGGTGATGCATTCATAACAGGAGATGCTTAAACTGTCAGTGCAACCGGTCTCGCTTATGTTGGAATTCATCAGAATTACAAGTTTTATTATTTTTGGTGAATTTTGTCCGTGATTTGTGTAATTATTCAAAATGGATTCGCAAGATTTTGCCATTTAAACTACTGTTGATTCGCATGTTATCTGATTTTGCTTGATATACATTTCAACGATTTATTCATCCCGTTTTGATATCTTTTAAAGTTCATTACTAAAGTAATTGAAATTCAAGCTGCCAAATGTATGGACCAGGATAAATAAAATAGGTATCAATGAATTATTTATTCCGTATTTATTAAGTCTCAATGATTAATTAATAAAACGTAAAGTGTGTTTTTATTTTCTATTATCATAGCAGTATCTATTGAAACTAATTCAATAGCAATATTTTTGAGCCTCACAAATAATTTTAAGACAAATTTATTTCAATTAAATATTTCCTTTGTTGTTTTAAGTTGTACTTTTAAATTTGTTACAAATATTCTGCAAGTTTTGACTTTTATCATGCAAATAAAGATAGAGAAAATATGTAAGGGCAAAACTGTTCAAAATGTTGGGATGTATCTGCTGTCCATTTACATGAAGACTGTCAGACGACGTTAGGAGTTATTGCCAAATGATGGTTTACAATTTTTTTTATCTTATAAACTATAAAAGATATGATAGAAATTTTAAATAGCAAACACAATCAAATGGCCGAAATTGTCAGTCGACTCCTTATTGGAGTTAATGCCCTTTCATGACGATTTCCACCAGTTCGTTACGTTTTTGCCTATTTTCTTGAAATTTATAATAGATAGATAGAAACTTTCTGTTGTAAAAGTTATCAGCAAGTCAAAATCTACTAATATGTCAAAATAACCGAATTCGTCCATTGACTTCTTATAGAAGTTATTGCCATTACAAGACGATTTTTACATAATTGTTTTTGTGTTATTGCCTATTACTTAAAATCTACAATAGATTGAGAGAAGCTTTAAATGCAAAAAAATATTCACAAAACGACCAGATCTACAAATTATAAACAACAATGCAGTATCGACCAAGTCGTAGTGAAACAAATGGGTCATATCACTTTTTGTGCCTACGATACATGATTTTGAAATACCTCATCAGCTACAATTGAGGCAAAAATTCAACAAATGAATATAACACTTTATAAATTGGTACGTCCGAAGTTTTCTGGAGTTACCTCCGTCAAGAACGCTAAAATCGGGGACAAATAGAAAATCAAGGGTATATAAAGAAAAAATCTACCTGTGGGATATGTAACCCCAATTTAGTTTAACTACAATATACATTGTATACGTCTGGAATTAGTCAGTCAATATGTATCAACTGAATCATGCCAGCACATAAGCACTAGATACAAGATTATCGAGTTAACAGCACATAAGCACTAGATACAAGATTATCGAGTTAACACTTTTCATCTTCAATGTATTTCTATATTTTAGATGGATCAGACCACCTTTTAGAGTTGAATCCGATTACGACCCAGTAAGGAATAATCTAAACTTTCCAACAGCAATGTTGCACCTTCCTTTTTATACAGCTGATGGGCCAATGTAAGTACTGAACAATGTTTAAAATAAAATGAAGAATACTGATGTCTTTGCGTGTTTCTATACATTTATTTACCTTTGTAGTTTCACTTAGTTACACTTAATATAAACATTGAAATGAATAGTATATATATGAAATATATACGTAGTATATGTAAATATTTCGTCACTTACCCAGTCTTCAGTCAGTGACATGCTTCATATTTTAATGTACTGTATAATGGTTCGCCTTCTAAAGAAAGGTAAGGTGGACCTCCTTAACATAAATAGACGAGCGGGAAATACATTTTATTACTAACTTTTTCATTCCTAATGTCTTTGTATTCTTATTTTTCTGTTAAAATAAATGAGTATATCAAAAAAGGTACACACAAACGTTAGCTCAGATAAATAAATATAAAACATTTCAATTTGTAGAACGTTCAATTATGGTACTTTGGCTGCTATTGTGGGACATGAAATAACTCATGCATTTGATATTCTTGGTAAGTAAAAGTAAAATGAAATTAACTTTGCATATAGTTTATGAAAGGTTTTTTTTCCATAATGATGTATGCACTTGCACTAATCATTCCAAATTTGTTTTTCCATTATCAGTGCTTTTTTTTTCTAAAAACAAAATACAAGATACTTAAGCTGACACATTAACTATTTAATCGACAATGCATAAACTGTTATGCTCCATTCTTCAAAATGTACTGGACGGAAATAACTTCTATTTCCTTATCCTTATTATTATATGCACCCTACCGACAGAGTCAAAAGGGACCACTACTTGGAACAAGTGGCTTAAGAATTCTCTCAAAACATATGTTGATAACTTAATTCATGTTTACCATCATATCAGTAGAAATGAATATGTAGAGAGAGCATACATTTTAGATGACATAGTTTGTATTGAATATATAGAAAAGATCAGAATATTAGAGTATCTAATATCTATTGAATTTTTTTTTTTAATTTTTAAAACAGGCAGACAGTATAACGCTAAAGGTAAACTGGAAAACTGGTGGGATCCACTTACTGTGAGCTCATTTAATCAGACTGTTAAATGTATGAAAGACCAATATGATAACTATATAATTGATGGACAAAAAGTAAGTAGAATAATTATGTTTGGCACTGCCTATATAAATTCTTTTTTATAACAACTATTCTGCAATTAAAAGACCATGATATTGTATTGTATATATATCGGAACCGAATTATAAACATGTGAAGTGACATTACTTCAAGGGTATTCATTTTTACAGTTGCATAGATGTATATCAGTATTTCTGTAACATCACAGATGACTAATTGTATAATGCAAAAACCCTTGATAAGATGCCTTAATTACTTGCCATTCAAAGCAACACTTATATCTTTTACAAATGTTGTACTCGTAGATAGTATTATTTGTTATATAATTTTAGGTAAACGGTTATAAAACATTAGATGAAAATATTGCAGACAATGGTGGATTGAGAGCTGCATTTTTTGTAAGTATATACTAACAGCAGTTTGTTTTTGTTCAGTAAAAGCGAAAGATGGTAATCAATTGAGTGATACTATAGGTTACTATGATGTCATGGATATGAATCAAAAGGGGAGTGGGGGAAGGAGAATGTATGATTAGGCCACTTTTTTGGCCCTCTGAATTCGAAATATAAATATTATAAAACAGCCAAATAACATTCTTGAAATGTTTACAAGGTATTAGACTATCAATCAGAAATATTTTTATTATGTCTTACATTATGCATCAGTGCATCATACTCCTTGCATTTAGTGCAAAACTGCAAAAAAAAAATGCTAAAAAGCCCCTTTTTGAGATTTTGTTAATAATATTAAGATATGAACAAATGCTGTACCCAAAAGATATTTTGCTACAACATATGTTTTACATAGGTGCGAGTTCTGGGTAAAGCTGTTGCTCATATATATTTTGAACGAAAACTTCGTGTAAAATGGCCGTTTAAGGTCAAATATGTCAACTTCACATGTTTGTGACGTCATATCAACATTAAATGTGAATTTCTGCAATAAAAGAGGGACGAAAGATACCAGAGGGACAGTCGAACTCATAGATCGAAAACAAACTGACAACGCCATGGCCAAAAATAAAAAGACAAACAGACAAATAATAGTACAGATGACACAACATAGAAAAACCAAAGACTAAGCAACACGAACCCCACCAAAACTGGGGGTGATCTCAGGTGCTCCGGAAGGGTAAGCAGATCCTGCTCCACATGTGGCACCCGTCGTGTTGCTTATGTTATTACAAATCCGGTAAATAGTCTAATTCGGTAAGTCACATTCGTGAAAAGGGAGGGTATTGTAGTTACGACAAAAGGAACATATCCGATATCATCTGTGAAACGGTTATTCCATAACGGTCAACCAACTCGTGATGGCGTCCGTAAAATTTACGAAGGGATCACTTCAACTTCCCCATTTTGAACTCTTGGTTTAATAGCTTCCTTGTGAGCAGCAATCCTCTATCAAGGAAATCATGATAGGAAACACAAGCCCGGGAATATCGTATCAATTGGGAGATATATACTCCGTATGCAGGCGCTGCTGGTATGTTGCTACATAGAAATGGAAAGTTCACAATTGGGAAGCTGAAATCATCTCTTTTGTAATAAAGTGTACAGACTATATGATCTGGTTCTTTAATCATTAACATTAACATAATTTTGAAAGGCTTGTATAGTTTTACTAGTTTTTTTTCAATTCCAGGGGCAAAATAATGGCTCATCATAGCTCCTCTTTTTGTAATGAAATTCTCAGGATTGTGGTTTCATACGACACCTGCTTTTGGTGACGACAAATAGTCGTTTATATGTCATCGATTGAAGTCCTAGCGTTGCCTTTAAGGCCTGGGTTGTTTTTAGTTTATATCTTTTTGTTTGAACTGGGAGAACATTTTTTGTCCTGGCATTTATTAAGCATAATATAGTTGTTTAATTTTAGCACTAACTCGTATTTACTCTGAACATACGCCATACGCCTGAAAAATGTCGAAATTCGTTTGTTTTTATTGTGATTAGGATTATAACACAATGATGACTAATATAACCCAATTATTGACATTTTTACCTATTATGTATGTTTGTTTTGCTCACTCATTGTTGTCAATATAATGGAATTCTATGTGACTGTCATACAAGGGAGAGGTTTAGCTAGCTATAAAACCAGGTTTAATCCACCATTTTCTATATAAGGAAATGTCTGTACCAAGTCAGGAATATGACATTTGTTTTCCATTCGTTTGATGTGTTGGAGCTTTTGATGTTGCCATTTGGTAAAGCACTTTCCGTTTTAAATTTTCCTTGGAGTTAGGTATTTTTGTTATTCTACTTTTTGTTAAGTATGAACCAGATATATATGGTAACGGTTTACAAGATTAAAACAATCGAAGATTATTTCATGGATATATAATATTTCCTTGATTATATTGAAGGATTATTGATTGATTGATAAATTGACATGTTGTCCATCCAGAGCAAAATACCACGTGCACATTTAATGTTTTTTTAATCATTTGCTACTGTGATATGACGATAAACTGCTAATTGTACTATATTTAAAAGCTGATTCGGACTTAATAATAAATTTCAGATTAAACTTGATCCGTTAAACCTCGACTTACACAAACGTCGAATCCACACTCACGTGAGAGCATTGAGACAGATATATATAAATAGAGAGAAGGGAACAATTTAAAAATTCTAGCTAAACTAAATATTACTTTCGGATTGTTGAAGGCTTTTTACTGTTAAAAGTTGTTTATCTAAAATATATATTATAGGCGTATCAACTGTGGGAACGAAAGGGTGAATCAAAGAAAATTCTTCCTGGTGTTGACTTAAGTAATCGACAGCTATTTTTTACAAGTTATGCACAGGTATGTACATGTTAAAATATTGAGTTTACGAATAATCTCAACTGAACAGCAGTGGAAAATATTATTTATTCAAGTGCAGCGAAGCGTTTGGGACCTCAATATTCAATAGTTTTGAATCTAAAATTGCTAATTTGTTGTATTCTATGTTTTGTTTTTGTCTTTACTTATTTTATCTTGATAAAACTTATCACTATAGTATGTCTATCAAATATTCATGTATTTATTTTTATTTTTTATTGTGTATTATCCATTAATGAAAGATGATATATATGGACCTAATTAATTAAACATATTTCAACTTCAGATGTTCTGTTCAAAGTGGAAACCTGAAGGTTTACAAAAACATTTAATTGATGATAGACATAATCCTGGTCCAATTAGGTAAGTATAGTAACCAGTCATTCATGAAGAGAAATTGAAAGAAAAAACACTCTTCCAAATGACCGTGTTTATTCATTTGTTGAGAATGAAAAAGTAATATTTTATATTTTTTGTGCGTTAAAAGCGCCTCTCTGAATTCACCCCGTTCAGGAACGCTCGAACTCAAAACTTTTAAATCCAAGTATGTATAATACTGGAGTACGTGAAGATTAGAAATTCATCCCAGGTAACTTTGCCCGAAAGATTAGGAACCTTAATTTCTTGATAATTTCATAATTAATAAACCAAGTTTTCTAATTTTGAACCTTAATTTGAAACTAAGTACAACTACTCATTTTTATATAAACTTTTCTAAAATCATTACATAACTAGAGTTTTCACAAATACTTCACCGTTGCCGGACATGGAAAATATCAGGTTAAAGTTTCAACGGTTTTTTTATTAATTCCCCATACACTACATGCAAGATGTTTTGCCGAAACACCTGGATTAGCCAAGTTCCTACACCAAAGTTTGGAATATGTCAATCAACCATATACCAGTTTTTTTCACCAATCTTTTAAAAAGTATTAGAGATTTGTAACACGAAATTGGCTAGTATATCGATATTTGAGTATTATATTTTTGGCTTAATGCATTTGTTATTTCCGATCCTTAGATATTTTTGTTCTATTTTGAACAAGGTCCTATTTTACAACCTCTAACTTCATCATTTGTACATTAATGTTTCTTAAATAACTTTTAAACCCCAATTATCACCCTTTTTTATCTAACATGTACAATTATGTCAGCATTTTATGCATACGAGTTTCTGGAATAACTTTCTGAGCCATATCATAACTCTTATCTATCATGCACAATTATATTTCCCTTTTTAACTGCCATATAATCTATAGTCTTTTACATAATCATGTTATATCGGATCTTCATCAAAATTTCAATATTGATTTTAATAATAAATATCAAAGTATTTTGTCATCAAAGTTGTTTTGATTCAGTTGTTAATCAAAACAATGTTTGTTTAATCAGTCTACTGTTTTATGATGTGTAATAGGCAATCCCCAACGGAAATTTATAATTAAACTGGTAGCACATAAAATATTGCATAAGGTTATTTGCATTTTAAGTAATTGCTTTTGGAGTATTGATAATATATGGAAGGCGTTTGAGCAAACAAGCACAGCTTATACGTGATTTTGTATGTTAAAAAGACAGAAAGTAACAACTTTATAGTAAATAAAGGCAACAGTAGTATACCGCTGTTCAATAGTCATAATTCGATTAAGCAAAAGCAAATCCGGGTAACAAACTAAAATAGAGGGAAACACATCAACTATAAGAGGAAAACAACGGAACAACAGAAACACTGAACTACAACAAAAGCAAACGCCAACATACATTATCTTCATTTATGAATAATTTATGAATATAATAAGATGTGTCATATACGTCAATGAGACAGCCACCCAAATGGTACAAAAATACATACGATCAACACACTTTCTTCAGCAAAGTCGACAAAAGTGTATATTAAAAACAACTAAATTGATGTCAACATACAGACATCAACAATACAATTGATAAGCGTTTTGAAATATGCAAAGCTTTTTAAGTCTAGAAAACTTTAGAATAGAAATCTGAAAAGAACGTCATTTGATCTTTTTTTTTTCTATTTCAGGGTCAGAGGATCAGTATCAAACATGGAAACATTTGCTAGTGCTTTTAATTGCCCATTTATATCACACTATAATCCTACCAAGAAGTGCAGAGTATGGTAAAGACTAAACACACAACAATCAACACATGACCATATGGAAACATGTGTAAAAATATTATAACATGTAATGGTTGCCCAAATATTGTATTCTTACCCAAAACATGTGGATTTGTTTATAATGACCATTTAGGAGATAATGCTTCTTTCCTTGTATTTCATTTCACACAGTCAAAAGTATATTGTTTTTTCAATTTACTGTTTAATTTTTTTGTAAGAAACATTTAAACAGCTTAATATACATCAAAGATCTGTCAGCATTTTTACAAATATCCATACTATCAAGAGATTATCCAGCCTTTCATAATGCGTTTTTGACAATTGTTCTTAATAAATGCAACTTTTCCGTATTTTTATTAATTTTTGCAGACACAGAAACAAAGTGAAGCTAGTTGTGTCTAAAATCAGATTAAAAACAATTGATCAAAATTCCAGTTTGAGCCATGCATGCATAAGGTTCTGAATCATTACATATTTTTGTCAGACGTCTTGAGTAGACACATTCAGCTGTCATAATATGAAAATGTACTATGACTTTTTTTAAAAGGATCCTGTTATTGAAGTAAATACATGGAATATTAACCATAACTCATTATTGGTATTGTATTTGTCTTATTACGAAATTCATTAGTGGATTAAGATATTTAATAAATTTTCTGACGGCAAAATAATATATATTACATTGTCTATTTCTTGAGCTATAAAACTGTGATACCGTTATTTAGCCTTTCTGTAATGTATGCTAGTGCCTTAAAAGGAGCTTCAAAAGGAATGTATGTCTGTTGTTTGATCGAAAGTATGTATAAAATGGTAACCGTTTTGGGCATTCTTGTTTTGTAGTTTTTAGAACAAATGTTCTCATAATGTTTTCTCATTATCGTTTTGTAAAAGTTAAAAAGATTCAATTTGATTTTCTTTTGATTGCTTTTATAATTTGAGTGAACAAATAATAAAGTTATATGGGGGATTAGATCTAGAGTGAATGAGGCAGATTCACTTGTTATAAGATTTATATTGTGTATGAAAAATAAGGGCTATTTTTAGAAATTGGACGATTTTACAAGGAAAGTCTATGACCAACTCATCATGCTCATATGCCAGTCTGTATTTATATACAAACATATATGTTTTGATCAAATCACTAGTCATGTTTGATATATAATGTTATACCACAAAGTTACAAATGAATGTATGTGAGGGAGTACGAATATTGCATGTTATTATCGTTTTTTAACATTTAATTGTATTCTACCAAGTAGAATTTAGTGTTTTTGTTTACACATCGTTAATTTTAATAGCAGTGATTATAAAACATATCAATTACATCAATTACCTCATTCCCTAATTGTAATCGACCGTACTATCTATTAGTGGTTCACATTTATTGCCATGAATTAGATAATACAATGTAATGTCTGGTCGTACAGTATATCACTTATTCTTCGAGATCTCAAACTATAATTAAAGTCTATTTTGGATGGATGAAATCAAAAGGTTACTTTAATAGTTTTAATAGGACCCTTAGTGTCAGGCAAAAAAGTATGTCTTAGTCCTGTTAGTACGCTTAGGTTGCTTAAATTGAAAAAAAAGAGTAAACAGAAGTAAAAGAATGATAATGCTAAAATGAATATTGATTAGATAAAGTTTTCTGCTTTTTAATTGATTTATAAGTCTTAGTTTAGCTAGTAAAGTGTTTTAACAAAAAAATTTTATTCTAAAGTATTAAGCATATAAATGGTAAAACAAATATATGGATTCAATAGTTTAATTTTTTTAAGAGAACATGAAGGTTTTTGTTTAATATATACATTGATGATGGGCAAAAAATTAAAATTGGTGGATGTATTTAACTACACTGAAATAAATTTCATTGACATATTAACGACATTTTCCATTAAAATGTAGATGAGTTCTTATTATCAATTTATGCCAAACATATTGTGTTCAAGTTAATCGCAAAAAATATTACAATTTTAATAGTTTGATATGGGAAGATCCAGATATCAACTGTTACTGTAAAAAGGTTGGGTTAAGGACAGATTAAGCAAGAAATCTTGTATCCAAGATGCCTTCTTCAATTAAATTTATGTACCTGAAAAACTATTTTTTTTACTTTTAAAGTGTAACCTCCAGCTCCTATTCTGTAATGACCTTTGTTGCATCTTCTGATATTTTTTAAAGTAAGTTTACTGAAAACATGAAAAATCATTTAAAAGTTTGTATGTCGGCATGCGAACTTTGTTGACAAACATCTTCATTGTTATTTGTTACTTGTACTTTATAGATAATGTTTACAAAATGACATGTTGACAGTAATACCTATAATTGTACGTTGAACTTATAAATGTTTTTGTAGATTGCTTTTCATACAATTGAAAAAAATTAATTGTTGCATTTTTATAATTAAACATTAGCTTAATATTGTGTTTTTATCTTTAAGGATAAGGCTTTAGGTCTGAGTTGGTACTTGGGTTTACATAGTAATGTCTCCGCAATAGGTACATGTATTTACATTTATCGCCAACTCTTCAGGCGATCTAAAAATAAATTAGCTCGACAGTAGTTTATCGATGTTCTTATCTTGTAAATCGATTAGGAAGAGAAAAATCAAGGTAACAAACAAAAACTAAGAGAATCGCATGAACTCCAAAAGGAGCGTGACCGGGTACGTCGACAGGATACGCCTATCCTGCTATGCATTCATCACCCGGCATGCGAATTCACAATCAAAATGTCATAATCGGTAAGTATAGATATATACTTGAATCTTCAGATCTGAGACCACGAAAACATGTCGCTAATGAGTTGCGACACCGGCAAATCGTATCGGTCAACCAATTCGTGATGATAATCATAAAACTTATAGATAAAACCTTAAAATATTAAATAAATTAATTATTTATACAAATTTTGACAGTATGGGGTCCTTTATAGCTGAATATACGGTATGGGTTTTACTCTTGTTGAAGGCCGTGTGGTTACATTTAGTTGCTTCCATTTCATTTGTATAGTTGTACTATTGGCAATTATACTACAAATCCTTATTTTTATATTACTGTTTTAACTACAGTTTTGTCTACACATGGCTCACCAGTGGCTATCCATAAAATCATCTTGAAGACCAAACGAATAAAAAAGTCGAATATCATTAAATGATAATTCCAAAAGGTTGTGCATAATCTCTTTGCCTATGTGACCGGATCATTTTGATGTTCTTTCATCTTTGCAAGCGGTAGGAAAACCAAAGTCTTTCGAATAATTTTAATCTTTTATAAACATCAGCTTTACGGACAATGAACACATCAAAGCCAAGATTTTTGCAGAAAATCCAGACTTTGTTATAAAATTTTAAAAATAGATTACTCATTTTTTTGCCCATGACGTGCTAGCGTTTATTCTTTACAAAAAGTCCTAAACAACCTTAACATTCCAAAAAACCTTGTGCTGAGTCACTGAAGTCGAGCGCAACCTAGAAGATGTACTTGAATTGGTCCATATTTATATTTGTTTTAACCAATATCTTAATTTATAAACTTGTTTTAAGGAAATCATTGCTAGCACTGCATGCAATAATCCTCTATCTATCAAGCACCGACTCCTGGCAAAAAATGAAAGAAAAGAGAAACACCGTTCTACAAAACACTACTTAAAAAAACAAAACTGAGCAACACCAACCCTACCGAAAACAGGGGTGTAAGGGCAATAATATTAATAATATTTTTTTTATTTTCAGAAGGTTGCACATAAAACAAAATAGTTAATCCTCCTCACGGCCTTCTACTATAAGTTAAATGATGTGCTACTGATCCCCTACGGATCCACAGAGGCTTAGTAAAATCCATAGGGGATGAGGTTGAAGGCCGAATCTCCTTTGGGTTCTACTAACCCTCTATGGATCCATATGTGATCAGTAGTGAACCATATAACGAATCTATCACACACGGGACTTTTCCTGTCAAGTTATGTATAAAAATTAACAATAAAATACAATAACAATAAAAGATTATGTCACTATTACTAGTAGATGTGACGTCATGATACCCATGTGAAATTTAATGACCCCCTACGGATCCATAGGGGTCTCCACGTGACGGCGTTAAACCAATCAGAGCGTCACTAAATTAACCGCGGGGCGATAAATCAACATATAAGCTAACAATTCATAAAAGACGACAAAACATAAACAAAAGGATAATAGATAAGCAAAACATACTAATATAATGTTCACAATTAACAAAAGTATAGTTAACAAATACCAACAATAAATATGTTTCCATTAATATATCTTCCAGACCTAGAAATTAAAGAAAGAACAGACACGGTTTCCTCCGCCTCATTTTAAGAACTATACTTCGAATTGGACATAAGCGGTCATCTCAGTACCAGAATCAGTGACAAACGAGACGATTTTAATTTTGAAATTATCAATTTCCCCCAGTAGCAATATACCAACTTCACCTGCATACGGGATATACATTTCCCAACTCATTCGGTATTCAAGAGCTTGCAGCTGCTACTCACACTTTATAAAACGTCACCAGTACCTGAGCAGAAAGTTGATGAACCAGGGTTATGTAAAAGAACGTCTCGTCCTTTTGTTAAAAAGTTTCATCGGAAGATACCAAGACCTTGTTGATAAATATTCTGTATCAACTTCACAAATAATACACGATTGTCTTGAAGTATAGATTCTAGGTACTGACGTTGTTTATTATCTTAATTACGTGTTATAGTGTTATTTTATTTGTCTTTGTAAATTATTTACTTTACTGTTTAGTCCATTTTTGGTAATATCTTCTTGGCGTGGCTCGGTACTTATACATCTCGCCATTGTGCTATTGTGCTATCGTATCGTATCGTATTCTTGTCTTTCATTTTTGTTTATGTGCTTTGTCTATATGCCTTTTTGTTTTTCTTTGTTGACATATTTGTTTGTTTTTATAGTGATTAAGATTATAACACAATGTTGACTGCTGTACCCCTATTTTTGACATTTTTACCTATTATGTCTGTTTGTTTTGTTTACACATTGTTGTCAATATGATGGAATTTTATGTGACCGTCATAAAGTGAGAGGTTTAGCTTGCTATAAAACCAGGTTTAATCCACCATTTTCTACATAAGGAAATGCCTGTACCAAGTCATGAATATATTTGATAAGGGACTTTCCGTTTTGAATTTTCCTTGGAGTTCGGTATTTTTGTTATTTTACTTTTTTTTTATAGTAACAGATCTATCAACAAATAATAAAAACGTTATAATATATAACTACGAAAAGTTCCATTCCTGCATTTCAAAAAGATAAGCTTGATTATTTGTTTTAAAAGCATGTTATTTCAAGTTAAAGGCAGGGAATTGTACAACAAAGTTCCAGAATAAATATTGGTTCTTTTACCATAAGTAGTTCCATATTGTTGAACAAACATATTATTTTGGTAAGATCATCTTAATACGTAGTGATTAACATTTGAACAACTTGAAAATAATTCAGATAAATATTCAGGTGCTAGATTATCCATGCACTCATTTACCATCACTGCCATAAAAGAGGGACGAAAGATACCAGAGGGACAGTCAAACTCATAGATCGAAAACAAACTGACAACGCCATGGCCAAAAATAAAAAGACAAACAGACAAATAATAGTACTGATGACACAACATAGAAAACTAAAGACTAAGCAACACGAACCCCACCAAAAACTGGGGGTGATCTCAGGTGCTCCGGAAGGGTAAGGAGATCCTGTTCCACATGTGGCACCCGTCGTGTTGCTTATGTTATTACAAATCCGGTAAATAGTCTAATTCGGTAAGTCACATTCGTGAAAAGGGAAGGGTATTCTAGTTACGACATAAGGAACATATCCGATATCATCTGTGAAACGGTTATTCCCTAACGGTCAACCAACTCGTGATGGCGTCCGTAAAATTTACGAAGGGATGATTTCAACTTCACCATTTGGAACTCTTGGTTTAATAGCTTCCTTATGAGCAGCAATCCTTTATCAAGGAAATCATGATAGGAAACACAAGCCCTAACATAATATATTTAATTCTAAAATAAATAGATAGTCATTCTTAGCTTTGAACATAGCAGATGAAGAAATACCAAAACACCCATTTACAATTATCCATTTGCCTGCTTTTGTAACTTTTATATTTACAGAAAGATATGTTTTGGGATAAACAGATGTGTATTTTAATAAATATGAAGTAAACTTTCCCCTAAATCATTACCAAATATTTTCGTTAATATAAATAAGAAGACGTGTTTGAATAATTTCATATTTTGAATAATTTCTTTCTGAAACAAGAAGGTAAAAAATACTAAAAACTGATTGAAAACTAGTAAATTAAGGTAAATATTTTTTTTTACATGTACGATATCTTCACAGTTTATTCTCAAGTCACATCAAATAAATATTTAAAATCACATTCCCTCCCGCGACTTCTTTATATTTTAGCTAGTTTCAAATATTATCTCAAAACTAGTAACAATTAAAATTTCTCCAACCTTTTTTTTTCAAAATAACAAATATGAAGTTCAAGTCAAGGAATGTTTTGAGTACACACATATATTTGTTATGTCTACCAATGCATACGGTCTTTCAAAGGTTGTGATCTCATCTACCTTTGCAGTATGATACTAACAGTGCGTAATTAATTTCTTTTATATATATATTATATATATATATTCAACACTAATTGAATTTAAATCATCTGATAAAAAAGGTTGCCTGTCAAATTTAAAATCCACTAACTTAATTTTCCTAATATTATCGACCTGACTTTAATATGTGAGAAACAAATCACATAATAGAACATAAAGTTAAAAATAATGGCGCTCTCCGCGACATTTCGTAAAAGTCAAATACCTATAAACTGTCATTTCTGTGATAATGAGAAAAACATTCAGTGGAAATGCCTTGAGTGTGAACTTTTGATGTGTGACAATTGTAAAGTAAAGAGACATACAAGGATTAAAAGTGCAAGTTATCATAATGTAATAGATATAAAAGATGTAGGACTGCACAGTGAAGGATTAGATTTTACAAATATAAAATGTTGCGAACATTCTGGACAAATGTACTGCATTTTTTGCCAGTCATGCAACAATCTCATTTGTCCAACTTGTGTGTCCAAAGTGCACAGGAAACATGATTTAATTGAAATCAGTCATGCATATGACATGAAAAAAGACAAGCTGAAGAAGCGGCAAAGTACAATTGCGACGACCAAAGCTGAAGTGGATGCAAAGAAAGAACACTCGGTAAACCTCAAGAATGATGAAAATGCTAAATATACCTAAGTCATCGGGAATATAATGAATCATGGAGAAGTTCTTAAACAGACTGTTGACAAACGTGTTGAAAAAATTAGAAATGAAGTTTTTAAAAACCTGGAAACTGTTTTGCAATCCATTGACTGTGACCTTGAGGCCCTATCAAGGTCATGCAGCAGTTTGATTTGAAAAACAATGAAATAGAAGACCTTATCAACACTACTGACACTGCAAAATTTTTCCATCAAGTCAGCAGGATGGAAAATTCAATGGATGTACCAGTACTAAAAATCAGGCCGACTTATAACTCTATTCCAAACTTCATTCCATGGGAGATAAATCTGTCTAATATTGGGGTATTACGAAATCAGGGATTCCAATCCGGTTACGTGTTGTTCTACAAATAAATAAACAATATCAGACTGAACTTAGCCTTGCATCCGATATAATTCCCTGTACTGACAAGACAATCTGGATAAATTCCAATGTTGATGGAGTGTTAATGAAAGCCAAACGTAAAGGAAATAATCTCAAAACAATATCTACCTTAAACATCAAGGTCTTCGGCATGACAGTTACTGCTTCTCGTGACATTTTGCTGGCTACTGGGGAACCAAAAATACAACAAATCAGCAATATCAGTGGTAGACTAGAAGCTACAGTATATGATATTTCACCTTTAATATGTACAACCATACATATGACAAGCAACAATAAAGTCATAGTAGGAGCTTTTGATAATGATGACAGAAATGTAATGATTGTAATGAATAAAAAAAGAGAACACGAGACTAAGTATGAACATGACCAACATAAACAACCTTTGTTTTCCTATATCCAGAGTATAACCACTACCAAGAATGGAAATATACATGTGGCCGATTGTCATCGACATATTGACAGAGGAAAAGTCGTGGTCTTATGACTGGGAGGCGTAACTACCAATACATATGCAGGACATACATATGTAAACAAGGACACACCATTCAAACCAGTCAAAATAGTAACAACACCCAGAGACAATGTCATTGTGATTGATATAGATACTGATACCTTACATATACTGGACAACAATGGACATTTACTCTCATTCAATGAAACAAGGAGCATAGGAATAATATATCTAGGTTCCTTTGCTTTCGCACAAACAGGACGACTTTTCATAGGATGTAGTAAATCGGTTCACAATGAAGCCAAGGAAGCAAAGATATATGAAATGTTTATATCAGACTGTTAAAAGGTAAGTTATAACATCTTATGTAAAGCTACTGCTTGTTAACATCAGTTGATTTGTGCATCTGTCTATGTTGTGATGTTACATTATTGTTTCAGGTTAGGGTGAAGGTTGGTGCTTATTAAAACGTTTAAACCCGCTGCATTTGTTTGCACCTGTCCTAAGTCAGGAACCTGATGTTCAGTGGTAGTCGTTTGTTGATGTGGTTCATAAGTGTTTCTCGTTTCTGGTTTTTTATATAGATTAGACCGTTGTTTTTCATGTTTGAATGGTTTTACAATAGTCATATTTGTGGAGCCCTTTATAGCTTGCTGTTTGGTGTGAGCCAAGGCTTCGTGTTAAAGGCCGTACTTTGACCTATAATTGTTTACTTTTACAAATTGTGACTTGGATTGAGAGTTGTCTCATTGGCACTCATACCACATCTTCTTATATCCAATTAAAGTACTAAGTAATTAAATATTATTCTCTCGTGGTTTTGGCCTGATAACTATTTCCCGAATGATTACATATTTTTCCTTTTACAATGAATGAAGTGTGATATAGATAAATGATAGGAAAATTGCATGAATTTTGTTCGCCTATCCTGCATCGTGTTATGAAATTGCGACGTTTCCATTGGCTATTGCTTAGGTCAATGATAACTTTCAGAGGTCGCAACGGACTACTTTTCCCTATTGTCATTGGAGGTTAGTGAATTCTTTAATTATATATAAAACACTCACAATTCCCCCCTGAAAATACTCTTTTGTTCGAATATGAGTCAATTCTGAAGCGTTCAAAGAGTTTGAAAAGTTTGATGTTAAGGGTTTTATTACATTTGTTTTTGGCTTTTAGTCAGATATTCAGAATCCTCTAGTTTTTTTATCCATGTAGTGTCAATAAAAATTTTGCCTGCTAACCCCTACTGACTTTCCATAATTTCATTGAATACAGTTTAAAAAGCCATTTTTGAAAATCTAATAAAATCCTTGTTTTTTCTTCCCAGTTTTTGAAAGAATAAATGTGCCAATGTTAATTGTAGGAAAAATCTAGAGAAAATCTTTTCCCGCCAAATTTTCAATCGATTATATCTCAAAAACAGGGACAGGGACCTGTCATTTTTTTCTACTTTTTAAGAACCTTTATTTATATACTATCAATTTATAACAGTCTTTAAGAAAGCTTGTTATTTTGAAACAGAGGAGCGACAATCCTTAATAGTTGACACCAGAAGTGGACTTATAACGTCAAACTGTTGAGGTGAAGAATATTTTGCGAATTTTTTTTTCTTCACAAGTTTATTTTATCCATAAGAAATATAGTTTTAACAACTCATGAGAATGCATATCGCTTGATATCAACTATCGTTATCTAAATTTAATAAAAATACTAATATAAACTCGCTAAAGGCTCGTTTATTATTCTATTGAAATTGAATTACTCAACCGAAATCAAATTCTCACTGGTTATGAAACATATTATTACAAGATTGTTTTCGCATTTCATGTTTGTTCATAGGTTATACAATACATGGTTATGTTTTATGAATATTTAAAGCCCAAGGCGTAGCCGAGTGTTTAAAATTTTGTATAAAACTTACAAAATTATCTCTTCCCATTGTAATGATTAATCCCTATTATGAGTTTACGTTAAGTGGTAACATGATTAAGGATGTACACCTCTGAGGAGCCAAACAAATCTAGAATTAAACATTTTTTCTTAACCTGGTTTTTGGGTTTATATGACTGAAGGAAAGTAACTGATGACGAGAAATCATATGGTGGTGCACTTCTTTTTTTTTTGCTACAGCCATTTGAAAGTACTAATTTTTTATGATTTTCACATTTTTCATCAATTTTTACCGATTTTTGGGCTATTATCATGAAAAAAAATCATATTTTCACCATTAAACTTTTTTTCATACTTTCACTAAAGATGAAGTGGACCAATCTGAAAAAACTATAGGTTGGTGTAAATATAAGTAAGTTTTATAAAATTTTGTTGCTTTTTTGTGTCAAATTGACCATGCTGTCAATTTTGTAAATTTGGGATTTTTTTTTTCTTTTTTTAGAACAAAAAACATATTAAATCAACTTCTTTGTTATACATGATTGCAAAAATACATATCTTAGAATTTTGAAAAGAAAAAAAATTAATATGGGATGTACATATCTTTGGTAAAATCATTTCTTTGTACCCTCACCTATTTTCTGAACATTTTGGCTGATGACACTTACCAGATTGGTTATAAAATTTGAAAATTTTATTACTCAAAAACTACTTATTGTAAGTACACAATTTTTTCACAGAGTTTAGTTTGATTATAATATTTTTTATATTCATTCATATTTTCCACTTGTATCACATGTTTTGGAAATAATTCCCAAACGAGATTTCAACGAGACTGAAACCTCAGAAGAATATATATCGTTAATAAAAGAGATGTAAATCATTTTTAATGGTCATTTCATCAGATGGAATAAAACAGCACTGAGACAGTTTTGTGGGGACAAAAAAGAAAAATTGTTCGCCAATGGAGTGTATTATTGATTCCGGTAGAATTTAAGAAATAATTCATGGAAGCCATAGATTTGTTGGATATTTACACATGGCCTGGGCCGTGATATTCGATTTTTATCCTGAGCGTTAGCGAGGGATAAAATTAACGAATATCACGGCCCAGGCCATATGTAAATGTCCAACCAATCGATGGCTTCCATGAATTATTTCGATTCTAATAGGACAAATACGGTAATTCAAAAACTGAAGCGAAGGTAAGATTGCCGTGTGTATCGCTGTTCTATTTTACCCCCTGTAAGATAAAAGCTACAAATTTCAAATAAATCTAAGTCTTACATGAATTATTTCTTAAATAAGCACTAGAAAAAATGTGTTCAATTCTCATAATTCTTAACCCAAACATTTTTTTTTCGTTGGCTACTATTTACTGTCAAATCCAGAGTTGACATGTCGTAACTAAGGAGTGAGCCGCCATGTTGACTTGCTAAAATCCACAAATGTGCAAACAATGCAATGAAATAGAAAATGAAGCAACACCTACCTCAAAACTCCATTTTAATGCAATATTATCCGAATTTAGGGCGTTAACGTAACTGAAAACCTTCAGCTTGAGAGTTTTCATTCGTATGACGTCATCTTATGACATGACGTTAATGCGCCAAGATTATTCATGAAATTTCGCGGAATTTTATTTTATTTTGATTTTATACATTTTTTAAGCCCCTGTGCATTAATTCTTTTTATTATGCATTACAATAGGAATAACGGTTCTGTAGTTTCTTTTTCAATTTCAATTTGAACATAACGAAATCGACATGGTGTTTGCACATAGATTACGATACATGTGGATTGACGTGGAAGGTAAATAGTAACAGCCACCAATATGCACATCTCTGAGTCTGCGCTAAGTATAGATATATCGAGAATTTTGTCACGGTGTTGTTTACAAAGCGAAAGAAGCACGTCATATTAGAATTAATAATTATAACCTCAAATTCCTTCATTCTATGCAGCACACAATGTTATCAAAAAAAAAAGTAAAATTACAAAAATACTGAACTCCGAGGAAAATTCAAAAAGGAAAGTCCCCAATCAAATGGCAAAATAAAAAAAAACAAACACATCAAACGAATGGATAACAACTGTCAAATAAGCCTTTCAAAAATTGTATATTTTTTTAAATAACGATAAAACTTTATTGATAGATATCGAAATTAGGACCGTTCCACCATCAGATGCTTAATCTTTTATTGATGAAATTATTGTTTGTTTTGTTTGATTTTTTTTTGCTTCGTATATATCAACAGTCATTGTTTCCTAAAAAAAACATTGCTTCTGATGTCAATAAGTTTAAATGTAGTTTTTCCGACATTTTTGCCCCTTTTTAAAGTCTTTTCTTATTTTGTTTCATTTACGCATGTATGTACTTTTATAAAACGTTTACAATATTCAAAATTCAACTCAAAATGTTTTATACGTCGATTCTCTTGTTTTCATTTATAATAATTAGACAAACAATAGTACTCGTGATTTTTGCTTTCTTTCGCTCTTTTTCTATGGAAATTGCTTCAGAGGGTTGTTCACTTCATTAGTGCAGTTATAAAGAGTTTACTTTTATAGATGATCTACAATGAAGAGTCATTCATGTATATATTAAATAAAGGATGTGGTATGATTGCCAGTGAGACAACTCTCTACCAGAGACCAAATGACATAGAAGTTAACAACTATATGTCACATAGGGCCTTCAACATATCTGATACCGTATAGTCAGCTATAAAAACAGCCCCAAAATAGCATTTAATAGTTCATGGAAAATACGGATGTTGCATTGAACGAGAAGCGGTGAGTATGTTCTAAATGTTTCATAGTAATCTGTGTTTGATTGATTGACATTGGTTTTCATCGCAAATTACAAATGTAGGTCTTGTGCCTAACGTTTTTTTTAATAAAGGTTAAAGGAGAAGGGTGTTAACGATGCAACAAAAAAACACGTTTTATATTTCATAAGATGTTTACTTAGTTATTTTCTCTATGTCAACTTAAGTAGAAGAGTCATTTCATTTTATATTAATAAGATGTTGTTTTTGTAATTTCTTGTAGATTCACACTTTGTCTTAGAAAGTTTGAAGAAGAAGTATCACATGACTGGAGTGTAAATAAAAAAACCTGTGAAAGACCATAAGATGATCAGTCTAAAATAATGAACATAAGCTACAAGACGAAAAGTTTACCATCAATTTTTACGAATAAAACAAGGTTTAACGATTATGATAACATAATGTCATATGATATGGTAAATTTACAATTTACATTGTGTAACATATTTTTGTAAGCTTTATACATGTAAATCTAATTTTTACTCGACTGTGACATTATGAACTTAAAGGTAAGAAATCCGACTCAGCATGTCGGTCTAGTTAACATGACTGTTCTAAATATGCATTTAATTTGTCACTGGACGTTAAACATTCATCATACACCGATTTTTTTTTTTTACTATTAAAAAAATGTGCCTGTACAATTCAAATATAATGCAGTGCTTTTCACAATTGAACTTGTAATATATATATATATATTTAGGGCAACCGAAGATTGTGACATTTTGACTGAGTGTTGGTTCGCATGGCGGTTGATGCATTCAAAACAGTGATTCATTGGTGATGTTATCATGGGTTGCACTGTTTGGTGAAATTCATTATACACAATTGCTGCAATGAATTATTCCAACTCTAATAGGAAAATACATAATGTGTTTGTGTTCAAAGCGGACCTATTAGATATCTTAAAAGTGTCAACAATCATGTTTTGGTGAAGCAAACAACTTTGTAAAAAGCAAATGTTTCATGACGTGTACAAATACATATATATACATATATACTTGTTTGAAATATTCATTTTAAGTAAACAGAATGGAGATTGTATTGGGTATACTAAATACTTGGAGCCAGGTTCTTATTCAAAATTTTCGTCAATTGAAACATATAGACATTGATAGATGACGGCTTATTTCTGTGATACCTATTGTTTTACTTTACAACCTTTACTTAATTCTTCATTAAGTAAAAACGTATCCTTATACACTAATATACTTGCATCATTAATTTGAATGTATGTAAAATTGTGGTAAGGTTTTGGTGTGTTTAACGTATATACTAAAATCAAAAAACGTATTAATAATGATAAATAATGAATATGAGTGTGCATTCGCATTACTATAAGATGTGTCACGGTATTTGTTATCCAACATTCATGTTTTAAGTTATGATGTTGTATTTGCAATTCTGATCGGATATTGTTAAATGTCTTATCCTTTGTAGTTGTAATTCTACCCCCTTTTTTATTTTCTATTCGTATGTAAAAGTAAAGATAATTAATCACCCAGTTCAATTCTAAGATTTTAGTTTAAAGCAACTATATGAACACTATTTATTTGTTTTACAATTTGATTTAGAAATAATACCGACATAGCTAGATAATACAATTATTTATCTAATTACTTACACAATTCTATATTAATATTCTTGTAATTGTTATAAAATACATCAGATGACATAGTTACAAACCTGATCTTGAACAGTATCAAAATTTTTTTTATAAATTTACCTGTGACGTCACTTTTGTGGCGTTGACCCAGTCGTGAAAGACAGTTCGTGGTTCTGTTGTGCTGTTTTGTGTACTGCCCTATGTTGTTTTACGTGTTTGTTTTTATTCTGTGGTTAGCATGTCGAAATGTACTATTGTATTGTATTGTTTATTTGTAATAAAATTGAGAATGGAAATGGGGAATGTGTCAAAGAGACAACAACCCGACCACAGAACAGACAACAGCAGAAGGCCACCAACAGGTCTTCAATGCAGCGAGAAATTCGTGTATTTTTCTGTCCTGAATGTTCTTGTGTTTATTTGTACTGTATTCCTGTCATGTAATGGTGTCATTTGAGTGTTATATTTAACATTGCCATAAAAGTGTGAGGTTTGGCTAGCCACAAAACCAGGTTCAGCCCACCATTTTTTTCTTAAAATGTCCTGTACCAAGTCAGGAAAATGGCAGTTGTTATCTTATAGTTCGTTTCTGTGTGTGTTGCACTGTCGTTTGTTTTTTGTTCACTTCAGTGTTTCTGTTGTTTCGTTATTTTCCTCTTATAGTTGATGTGATTTCCTCGGTTTTAGTTTGAAATCCGGATTTGATTTTGTCTCAATCGATTTATGACTCTCGAACAGCGGTATACTACTTTAGAATTTGTCTTTATTTATACATCTATTTTATTTTACATTGATGGATACAGTACATATATACAAATAAAATGTAATATCTTTAAAATGCAATCAATACCCAGCCAAACAAATGACTTATGAGACACTCTTAAAACATACATGTTCATACATACAATAAACTGCATGCTAATTTATATCATTTAAGCAATATGCTTGTCTTTGAGGTGTGAACACCCTTTCTTCCAGGAGAAGCCATTTTGCTGTCATGGTAACCAGAGTCAGATAGTGAAGGTCTATATGGTACTCTACTGTTTAAATGTTTGAATCTTGCGTTTCTTGGATAACCACTCTCAATTTTTGTAATTGGAACTTGTCTGAAATAAAACATTTAAGGGCATACGATACAGTTACAGGGGAGATATTGACGTTGCTAACGTAAAAATGTTATTTTTCGCGAGTCAAACTGCGATATATCGAGAAAAGATGCATTTTTCGAGTTATTTCAATCATTAGCATGAAAAAGAGTACATGAACCACTCTTTTTTAAAATGACATTTGCCTTGATACTGTATGAAGATTATTTGTTCCAAATTTTATGAAAATTTTATAAAAAATTTTTAATTAGATAATTATGCAGAAAAAAATGCCGTTATTTTTCTAAAATCATGAATATTTAATAAATTGTTTTTATTTATAAAGAATTGTTACACAAATTAAGAGCATTCTTTAGTAAAGAAGATATTCCTTATCTTTTTACAAAAATCCGCATGTGTTTAATTTTTGAAACAAGAAAGTTAAGTATGTCTGTCCAAAGGAAAGAAATGACCAAGAAACCAAAACTTTAAGAAAATGTCTAAAATTTCGACCCCATTTATCTCTAAATTTAGCCCATGAAGGTATATTTTTTATTACATATTTGAATTGACCAAGTGAAAAATAGCTTGTATGCAAATTTTCGTAAAACAATCACCGTGGGATCAAAACTGTATCGTATGCCATTAAAACAATTTATATGTACACAAGTACTATCTTATTCATTAAAAGAGCAGAACTTTTCTTTCCTTGCACACTGACAAATTAAATTTCAAGCTTTCAAACTACAGTTATTTCCACATGACTGTATATTGGCAACAAGCACGTGTATTATTGGTTGTATCAAAAATTTCAATCATATTGAAAAATACTAAAAATCAAAATAAATTTCAAAGTATAGATGAATATGCTGATTTCATTCATATCAAGAATAAAACTTGCCTACATAAACCAAATAAACCAAAGTTTAATACTGCCTTAAAATGTAATCTTTTATTTGTTTTTCCTCTGGTCGTTGGTTGTTGATGCTGTCTTGATTCAGGATTTTTGCAGAAAATAAAACATTTCTGATCCAATTTTTTGAAAATTTAAAGTACTACCTTTGTATTGGAGAAGCTTTTCTATGTGTATCAGTAAAATCATCTGACATTTTATCATCTGAATCCAAATCGTCAACAGTTGATTTTAAACCATTATTTATCCTTATCTCCTTCCTTTCATTTGAATCTGAGATGTTATTTTTCAAATGCTGGAGTTCTTTTTCAGCCTTATCAGCCCTATCTATCAAATCACTTATGAACTTTTCTAATATTTCTCTGCTCTGGCTATTGCTTCTTTCTCTGCTGTTGAGGTTAAAAATGTTTTCAATGACTGCAGCTCTCTGAAAATAAGACAAATGTATATATGTATAGTTTAAAGTTGGAAAGAGGGGTTTTTTTTGCTAATCTAATATAAAATTGCAAAGGTATAACCTGTGTTAAATTGATCTTTATGGAAGATAAGAATTGGGGACATAAAAAAATGTAAAAAAAAATTAAACCTCTCAAAAAGATTCAATTTAGGAAAACCTGAATTTAAATCTTTGTAAAACAACCCACTTTACAGAATGGAATGTTCATTTTAGTATCAAGTATTATTTTTATAGATGAAATTGGCACTGCCAATGACTTCAAACAACAGCTCAGAATGCCACAAGTAAAATAGAAACTGCATCCTATAAGTCACTTGTATACTCAACAACCATTCACATTACACGTTACAAAAAAGGGTAAAAATATACATAATCATATAAAAGCTGTTAATAGTATTAAAAAGTTTCCAGAGCTCAGCAAATTGGCTTTACTGATCAACTTCATTTGTAAAAAATGCATTTTAAAGATGATAGCATACAATTCAAATGGTAGGGAACATAGTAACAAGTGCATACCTTCATTGATTTTTTAAATACATATTTTGTTCTTGGAAGTTTAAAAGTGTTTGTGGTACAAATGTATTACCATGTAAAGCGAAATACAAATTCTAGTAGAGTCATAGTTCTACTAGAATTCTATATATTTCTGATGAATCCTCCCTCTTATATTTATGGCACCCTCAGCGGAGTTGGGGTGACATACTGTTATTGTTCCGTTCTTTTTTTGTCTTATTTTTATTCTTCCACACATTTTGTCCACGCTATTTCTCGGAATTGGTCAGACCAATGTTGATGGAACTATACCATGATATGAACCGCCATGTGAAGTTGTGTAAGAGATATTGGAATGGAACAAAATGGCCGCCGTTACCATGGAAACTGCAAAAATGTGAAAAAAAATCAAAATTCTAAATCTTTTGTTATAAGAGCCAACTTAATGAAACTTTATACAAATGTTGGCAGTGGTGCCCTGAGGTACCAACAGTACTTTGCTTCTGCAAAATGGCTGCCATTACCATGGAAATTGGAGAAAAGGTTAACATTGACCCTATGGGAAAAAACATCAAAGCAGTATTTTCTTAAGGAATATAAGATCAAATTGAAACAAGTTTCATGTATATATAAAATGGTATAAATCAAAGTTAAAACTGTTGTTGGAATTTTCGAAATGGACACCGTTACCATGGAAACAACAAAAATGTCCAAAAATGTCAAAATGCTTCAAACTTAATGAAACTCATTATAAATGGTAAATGGCAAGTAAAGATAAGACTTTGGACTTTGGAATTTCCAAAATGGCCGCCGTTGCCATAGAAACTGCAAAAATGTGAAAAATTGAAAAATGCTAAAAACTTTCAGAAAATTTACAAACAAATATGTTGTGATGTATTTATGTGTAAATATGTTTTATATTTTCAAAATGGCTGCAGTTTAGTGGCAATGTGGGAAGGGTGCCATCCGCTATTGCTTGCAATCGCAAATCTAGTTTTGATTGATATTGTAAAATCTATTTTATTTGGCATAAATGTCACGTATATGTTGAATTGGTTATGATTTTTAAATATTAGATCAATATATTCTAATTTTAAGCAATGGAACATTTTGGGAAAACACAAATCTGTTTGCGTCTACAAAAGCACAAAATCTGCTACAGGTTGTTATATTATCTACCTATGCAGTACAAAATGTGTGTACACAATTGTTATCTAACATTTTATAAGGTAAATTTATATCTCATGATAAAATTGAGCTGACTTAGTTATTTGAGATACGAAATAGGAATTGGAACATACAGTTGAAAAAATGGCGTTTTCACAATCAGTTCATAAAAGTCAAATACCTATAAACTGTCATCTCTGTGATATTGAGAAAAACATCAAGTGGAAATGCCTTGAATGTGACATTTTGCTGTGTGACAATTGTAAAATAAAAGACATCCAAGGAATAAAAACTCAAAGGACCATAAGGTAATCAATATCAAAGATGTAGGACTGCATAGTGAAGGATTAGATTTTACTTATATAAAATGCAGGGACCATTCGGGACAAACTTGTTACCTTTTTTGCAAGACATGTAACAGTCTTGTATGTCCAACTTGTGTATCGAAAGTATACAAGCAAACATGATTTAATTGAAATCAGTGAAGCACATAACATGACAAAAGATAAACTGAAGAAAGGACAGAGGAGAAATGAGTCTGAAAAAGCTGAACACAGAAAGGACATTTGGAAAGACTTAAGATTCGTGAAAATGCTAAATATATCCGAGTCATAGATAATATTAATATTCAAGGAAAAGCTTTGTAACAGGCTGTTGACAAAAATATTGAAAAAATAAGAAATGAAGAGGATTAAGATTGGAAAACTATTTTGCAATCAATTGATGCTGACCTTGGTGCCATATTAAGTTCCATGCTACAGTCTAATGAAAAAACCAATGAAGCAGAAGACTTAATAAACAACACTGATATTGCAAAGTTTTTTCATGAAGTCAGTAGAATGGAAGATTCAATGGATGTACCAGCACCAAAAACCAAGTCAACATACAAATCCATACCAGACTTTATCTCAGGGGAGATAACTCAGTCTAATATTGGAGTGTTACAAAGTAAGGTCAGTCCTCTAGAATTAAGTGTCCTCTTAATATCAATAAACAATACCAGACTGAACTTAGCCAGGTATCAGATATAATTCCTTTGTCTGACAATTCAATCTGGTCAATTATCAATTTATATGGAAAGTTAATGAAAGTAAAACCTGAAGGAAATAATCTGAAGACAATATCTTCTTTGAACATTGATGTATATGGTGTGACACTTACTGCTGGGAATGACATATTACTAGATACTGGTAATTCCAGAATACAACAACTCAGCAATATCACTGGAAAAATAACAGACACGGTATATGATATATCACCTTTAAAATTTACAACCGTTCATATGACATGTAATAATAAAGTCGTAGTAGGAGCTGTTAATAAACATGGAATGATTGTGGTAATGGTAATGAATAAGAAAGGTGAGCATGAGACTATGTATGAACATGATAAATATAATCAACCTATATTTACTTATCCTGTGAATATAACCAGTACAAGTAATGGGGATATACATGTGGCAGATTATAAACCAGGTAGTGTCAGAGGTAGAGTGGTGGTGTTAGAACAGGGAAGAGATAGAATCAATACATATACAGGACATACAGATGTCAACAAGGGAATACTATTTAAACTTGTCAGAATAGTGTCAACACCAAGAGACAATGTCATTGTGACTGATATGGATACTTATACCTTACATATACTAAACAACAATGGACAATTACTGTCATTTTATAAAACAAGCAATATAGAAATTAAATATCCATTCTCCTTTGCTTTCACACAAACAGGACAACTTTTGAATGGCTGTTCTAAACCAGTAAACAGTAAAGCCAAGGATGCAAAGATATTTACAGTGAATATATCAGGATGGTAAAAAGTAAGTGACAATATGTTATATAAAGATACTTCTGATAATTTGAGCATTTAATAAATATTCTCTTATGGGTGTGGCCTGTTACCTATTTCTTGCATGAATAGATATTTCTCGTATCACACTGCACGGAGTGTGATACGAAAAAGTGATATGAAAATATGCGTTAATTTGATTGGCTTATTCAGCATCATGAGACGATATTACGACATTTCCATTGGCTATTCGTTAGGTCATTGATAACTTTCAAAGGTTAAGACGATGTACATTTCGTCCGTGGAATGCCATATTAAGATCCATGCTACAGTCTGATGAAAAAATCAATGAAGTAGAAGACTTGATAAACAACACTGATATTGCAAAGTTTTTCCATGAAGTCAGTAGAATGGAAGATTCAATGGATGTACCAGCACCAAAAACCAAGTCCACATACAAATCCATACCAGACTTTATCTCAAGGGAGATAACTCAGTCTAATGTTGGAGTGTTACAAAGTAAGGTCAGTCCTCTAGAATTAAGTGTTACTCTTAATATCAATAAACAATATCAGACTGAACTTAGCCAGGTATCAGATATAATTCCTTTGTCTGACAATTCAATCTGTTTAAATAGCAATTTATATGGAAAGTTAATGAAAGTAAAACCTGAAGGAAATAATCTGAAGACAACATCTTCTTTGAACATTGATGTATATGGTGTGACACTTACTGCTGAGAATGATATATTACTAGATACTGGTAATTCCAGAATACAACAACTCAGCAATATCACTGGAAAAATAACAGACACGGTATATGATATATCACCTTTAAAATCTACAACCGTTCATATGACATGTAATAACAAAGTCGTAGTAGGAGCTGTTAATAAACATGGAATGATTGTGGTAATGGTAATGAATAAGAAAGGTGAGAATGAGACTATCTATGAACATGATAAATATAATCAACCTATATTTACTTATCCTGTGAATATAACCAGTACAAGTAATGGGGATATACATATGGCAGATTATAAACCAGGTAGTGTCAGAGGTAGAGTGGTGGTGTTAGAACAGGGAAGAGATAGAATTAATACATATACAGGACATACAGATGTCAACAAGGGAAGACCATTTAAACTTGTCAGAATAGTGTCAACACCAAGAGACAATGTCATTGTGACTGATATGGATACTTATACCTTACATATACTAAACAACAATGGACAATTACTGTCATTTTATAAAACAAGCAAAATATAAATTAAATATCCATTCTCCCTTGCTTTCACACAAACAGGACAACTTTTGAATGGCTGTTCTAAACCAGTAAACAGTAAAGCCAAGGATGCAAAGATATTTACAGTGAATATATCAGGATGGTAAAAAGTAAGTGACAATATGTTATATAAAGATACTTCTGATAATTTGAGCATTTAATAAATATTCTCTTATGGGTGTGGCCTGTTACCTATTTCTTGCATGAATAGATATTTCTCGTATCACACTGCACGGAGTGTGATACGAAAAAGTGATATGAAAATATGCGTTAATTTGATTGGCTTATTCAGCATCATGAGACGATATTACGACATTTCCATTGGCTATTCGTTAGGTCATTGATAACTTTCAAAGGTTAAGACGATGTACATTTCGTCCGTGGAATGCCATATTAAGATCCATGCTACAGTCTGATGAAAAAATCAATGAAGTAGAAGACTTGATAAACAACACTGATATTGCAAAGTTTTTCCATGAAGTCAGTAGAATGGAAGATTCAATGGATGTACCAGCACCAAAAACCAAGTCCACATACAAATCCATACCAGACTTTATCTCAAGGGAGATAACTCAGTCTAATGTTGGAGTGTTACAAAGTAAGGTCAGTCCTCTAGAATTAAGTGTTACTCTTAATATCAATAAACAATATCAGACTGAACTTAGCCAGGTATCAGATATAATTCCTTTGTCTGACAATTCAATCTGTTTAAATAGCAATTTATATGGAAAGTTAATGAAAGTAAAACCTGAAGGAAATAATCTGAAGACAACATCTTCTTTGAACATTGATGTATATGGTGTGACACTTACTGCTGAGAATGATATATTACTAGATACTGGTAATTCCAGAATACAACAACTCAGCAATATCACTGGAAAAATAACAGACACGGTATATGATATATCACCTTTAAAATCTACAACCGTTCATATGACATGTAATAACAAAGTCGTAGTAGGAGCTGTTAATAAACATGGAATGATTGTGGTAATGGTAATGAATAAGAAAGGTGAGAATGAGACTATCTATGAACATGATAAATATAATCAACCTATATTTACTTATCCTGTGAATATAACCAGTACAAGTAATGGGGATATACATATGGCAGATTATAAACCAGGTAGTGTCAGAGGTAGAGTGGTGGTGTTAGAACAGGGAAGAGATAGAATTAATACATATACAGGACATACAGATGTCAACAAGGGAAGACCATTTAAACTTGTCAGAATAGTGTCAACACCAAGAGACAATGTCATTGTGACTGATATGGATACTTATACCTTACATATACTAAACAACAATGGACAATTACTGTCATTTTATAAAACAAGCAAAATATAAATTAAATATCCATTCTCCCTTGCTTTTACACAAACAGGACAACTTTTGATTGGCTGATCTAAACCAGTAAACAGTAAAGCCAAGGATGCAAAGATATTTACAGTGAATATATCAGGATGGTAAAAAGTAAGTGACAATATGTTATATAAAGATACTTCTGATAATTTGAGCATTTAATAAATATTCTCTTATGGGTGTGGCCTGTTACCTATTTCTTGCATGAATAGATATTTCTCGTATCACACTGCACGGAGTGTGATACGAAAAAGTGATATGAAAATATGCGTTAATTTGATTGGCTTATTTAGCATATGAGACGATATTACGACATTTCCATTGGCTATTCGTTAGGTCATTGATAACTTTCAAAAGTTAAGACGATGTACATTTCGTCCGTGGAAACGGACATTTGTGATTTCTTCAATAATATACAAAACACTCACACTTTTCAACTGACAATCTTCATTTTGCCAAATTTTATTACATTCTGAAGCTTATAATTTGAGCATTTAATAAATATTATTACCATAAAAATAAGAAGATGTGGTATGATTGCCAATAAGACACCTCTCAACTAGAGACTAGTTTATCAATACTCATTGAAGTGAACAAATCTGTGTTTAATGAATTAATAATGATATCCATTAGAATTAACAAGTGTGAATGGAGCAGAGAATTTTATTTGACAATGCATAAATAGAACCTGAATTCTTTAAAAAAAATGTTCTTAACAATTAATTTTTTGCAGACATTGTTTTATATTGAAGTCAACTCACAACTAATTGCATTTTCTATTTATTAACTATCCATTTTTGTAATTTTCATAGATCCGCATATTTACAGTGTAAGCAAATTGGAATGTAATTTTATGATCATGCTTAAATAATGTCATATTAAAGAGAATACTAAGAAAAAATATACTTTTGATAAGTTCATAAGATATCATGATATACACTTTGACATGTTACCTCTTGTTTTTTATTCATTAATACATAGGTAATACTTTTGACACTCTTTATGATCTTTTTTTTATAAGAATCTGTAAACTTTATAGTCAGGGTTTTATCTACTCCTGCAGTTTGAGTAAGTACTTTTACAATTGTCCATAGGGAACTTGCAAAAACGGCCAATAGTATTATGATGTTTTTTCCCTGGCATAGGCATTGTTATAAATTATGCGTTTAGAGCAATGGAATTAGCCCAGATATTTTCAGGTTAAAAAAGTACAAGCCCGGTTTTTTCTATTTCAATTTACATTTTTGTCATAATTCGGACTCAATTTATTTATGATTTTTTTTTATTATTAATGTTTTATTCAAATGATGTTTGTCTTTACACAACTATAATAGTTACATGTGTATAAAGCCTTTGCAAACTTCCCACATATATATATATATATCTTCATGCCTAATATATCATGTACTTTGTTACAACTCTAGATTCTACTGACGAGTAAAGGTAACACTAAACCACCGAAAGCTGAATTTTTAGTTCAGTCTAGGTGGCCGAGTGGTCTAGAGCGATGGATGCAGTGCAGGCGGTGTTGTCTCGATATCCCAATAGCATGAGTTCGAATCCCGGCGAGGGAAGAACAAAACATTTGCTTCCGCAAATTTGCAGATCTAACATTGTTGTGGTAAAATTTAGAGTAATTATGAAGGTAATATGTGTTTTCAGCCGTGTATCACCTTCACTGATGATCCAATGGATGGATCTGTCGTAGAGTTGTCACTTGTTTAGACGTATAAATATATGTCTTACATCTGAATTTCTTTAATTTGGATTTTTTTTCACTTTTTACTTACTTATATGTTAAGATGCTATACTTTACATTCTAATCAATAGTTGTAAATTTGTCATTTGAAATTGTTGAATTATTAACTGATGGTGTGTTTGTCATTTGCTGTTGACGTATTGTTAATTGACAGGATGAACGTTTATTATTATTTGAACATAACTTAACATGCAATAACTTAAATCAAATTATCAATACTAAAGTAATCTGATAAAGAAATCAGAAATATTATACTTGTGCAAATATAAAGAAAACAGTACATATAATTAATTTCTTGCTTTGAAACGTTCATTTAATATAATGTTTTGCCAATGTGCTGACAATTATGCATTACATGTCACTTTGTAACAAAAAATAATTAAATTGACTAACTGTAAATTTAGCAATTATTGCAAGGTTGTAATGTGACTGGGTGAGTATTGCAATAACAAGAACTTACATTCTGATATCTGATATATATATATCTGTATGAGGATTTGCCTGAAATTGCAATTATTTATCTCATATTTTCGATTAGACTTCAAAAATCGCAATATTAAATGCATGCAATTATTTCTGAATTGAAAGTATAATGAAAAATTCTTTTAACCGTCATTTAAATTTTTTTTTTTTAATTGAAATTTACATTTTTTAATATTTTGAAGTCAATTTATTCATTAAATTTTTTTTTATCTATAATGTTTAATTCAAATGATGCACATCTTCAAACAACATTATTATTTAAATTTGTCAAAATATGTTTTATTCATAATGTATAGCATAATAATTGGATTTCTTCAAAGCCAAGTACTTATGGTATATTTTGTTGTGTATATTATTTTAAAATCATTCTTAGTAGTTACATTGCTTCTATCTATTGACTGAAATCAGCCAGTTCATATATCTTATCATTAAACTTTACTGCAGTAACCACTTATAAAATAGTAACCAAAATAACCTCTTTTCCTTGTCAATAAGACGCAGGGTTCGTATTCATATCACATAAACCTCATGTAGTATTTACCACTGAACGTTAAACACCAATCCATTATCATAATCACCATGTTCATAAAACAAACCATTTAATCTTGAAAGAACAGAGTTCCAATGCCCCTGCATTAAACATATTTTATTTGTCCAAGGGCATAAACACAAAACATAGTTTTAAATCTTTTTATAGATTCTATATCTTAGAGAAATATAGGTTTGAGAGCGCTAACAAGAAATTTTACATATAAATAATATTTCCAAGGAACATAGCCCTTTGACAAGAATTGTTCCTGTTCTCGTGACAGCGCTTCCAATACAATTTTCCATTTAATTAATATTTCCAAGGAACATAACCCTTTGACAAGAATTGTTCATGTTCGCGTGACAGCGCTTCCAATACAATTTTCCATATACTAAATAATTCCAAGGAACATAACCCTTTGACAAGAATTGTTATGTTCACGTGACAGCTCATCCAATGCAATTTTCAATATAATTAATATTTCCAAGGAACATAACCCTTTGACAAGAATTGTTCCTGTTCGCGTGACAACGCTTCCAATACAATTTTCCATATACTTAATATTTCCGAGGAACATAACCCTTTGACAAGAATTGTTTATGTTCACGTGACAACTAATCCAGTGCAATTTTCCATATAATTAATATTTCCAAGGAACATAACCCTTTGACAAGAATTGTTCCTGTTCCCGTGACAGCGCTTCCAATACAAAAGAGGGACGAAAGATACCAGAGGGACAGTCAAACTCATAGATCAAAAAACAAACTGACAACGCCATGGCCAAAAATAAAAAGACAAACAGACAAATAATAGTTCAGATGACACAACATAGAAAACTAAAGACTAAGCAACACGAACCCCACCAAAAACTGGGGGTGATCTCAGGTGCTCCGGAAGGGTAAGCAGATCCTGCTCCACATGTAGCACCCGTCGTGTTGCTTATGTTATTACAAATCCGGTAAATAGTCTAATTCGGTTGGTCAATACAATTGTCAATATAATTAATATTTCCAAGGAACATAGCCCTTTGACAAGAATTGTTCCTGTTCACGTGACAGCGCTTCCAGTACAATTTTCCATATAATTAATATTTCCAAGGAACATAACCCTTTGACAAGAATTGTTCCTGTTCGCGTGACAGCGCTTCCAATACAATTTTCCATATACTTAATTTTTCCAAGGAACATAACCCTTTGACAAGCATTGTTTATGTTCACGTGACAGCTCTTCCAATGCAATTTTCCATATAATTAATATTTCCAAAGAACATAACCCTTTGACAAGAATTGTTTATGTTCACGTGACAGCGCTTCCAATACAATTTTCCATATAATTATTTTTTCCAAGGAACATAACTCTTTGACAAGGATTGTTCATGTTCACGTGACAGCTCTTCCAATGCAATTTTCCATATAATTAATATTTCCAAGGAACATAATCCTTTGACAAGAATTGTTCATGTTCACGTGACAACTCATCCAATGCAATTTTCAATATAATTAATATTTCCAAAGAACATAACCCTTTGACAAGAATTGTTCATGTTCACGTGACAGCTTTTCCAATGCAATTTTCCATATAATTAATATTTCCAAGGAACATAACCCTTTGACAAGAATTGTTCATGTTCACGTGACAGCTCTTCCAATGCAATTTTCAATATAATTAATATTTCCAAGGAACATAATCCTTCGACAAGAATTGTTCATGTTCACGTGACAGCTCATCCAATGCAATTTTCAATATAATTAATATTTCCAAAGAACATAACCCTTTGACAAGAATTGTTCATGTTCACGTGACAGCTCTTCCAATGCAATTTTCAATATAATTAATATTTCCAAGGAACATAACCCTTTGACAAGAATTGTTCATGTTCACGTGACAGCTCATCCAATGCAATTTTCCATATAATTAATTTTTCCAAGGAATAGAACCCTTTGACAAAAATTGTTCATATGAAATGGATAAAACGAGAAAAAGCTTACAAAAAATCCTTAGATTCTTTTTTTAAATCAATACTGAACATAGTTGATATTCGTATTAAACATTTAAAAGATTATTAAATTTTAACGAAAGAAATCTCTGTATTACTGAAAAATTATTACACCAGGGTTTTCGATATCACAAACTTGTCCAACCATTTACTAAATTTTATCATCACTACAAGGACATCATTCGTAAATATAAATCAACGTGCAGACATCTTATACGTTCAGGCATTTCACTTTCCATCTTTTATGGCAATATTCTATATAAAGCACAAAATGTCGTCATTCACCACAAAAGCTAACCAAAACTTTAAAAAGACTTATTCAGAAGCTAGGTATACAGTAACGATACTGGTGTCAGGTCATTAAAGATGTCATTTTTGGATTTGATATTGATTCACTCATAGGGTCTTTGCATCGGAAATAAACACATTTATTCTAAAACCAGTTGTTGGCATGATACGGGTTATGTTCTTCTCGTATATTTTATGATGGTATGATACTAAACACCTAACGGGAGGGATTGTGCTTGATTTTCATATGATGAAGACATAATCTTTCAATCAGTTTAATTGAGGTCTGAAGCTGGCATGTCAGTAACTGCTAGTAGTCCTTTGTTAATTTATGTTGATCATTGTCATTTTGCTTAGTTTCTTCTGTTACCTATTCTAACATCTGACTCGGACTTCTTTTAAACTGAGTTTTACTGTGCGTATTGGTGTGTGTTTGTTTATTCCACAATGGCTAGAGGTATGAGGGGAGGGTTAAGATCTCACAAAACATGTTTAACCCCGTCGCATTGTTGAGCCTGTTCCAAGTCAGGAACCTCTGGCCTTTGATAGTCTTGTATCTATTTTTTTTAATTTGGGTTCATTTGACACATTCCCCTTTCTATTCTTAATTTTATTCAGGTTCTAATGCAATTTTCCATATAAATATATATATATATATATATATATATATATATATACGTCTAAATTGAAAACAACGTTCAAACCTATGATTGAGTTGGATAAAAACCGCAATTTTTATACGTGTGCATGCAAAACAAATTTCTTGGTAGAGGGGTCTAAATACAGCACAAACAACATTTTCTAAAAGTCCAAATGAGTGAAAAAGTTTATTTTAACAAAACGCATTTGACTAGCAGGTCGAACAACTGATGTTCTTAAACCCTGCTGACTGCCATTGGCGATTGCCAAATAAACGGATCACAAGATGTAACAAAATAGATCTTATTATTAATTTATTACCAAACAGAAAACAATAAACTTGCGGAAAAGATGGTATACCGCAAACATGAGGTGCAAAAATTTGTACACCATATCCGGATTTCGACAATTAATGTCTCTTCAGTGATGTTAGGAATCGAAACGGTATTTGGAAGGCCATATAATTTACCTCATTTTAGGATAGACTCTTGAATTTTGAAAGAGTCAAAATAGGATGAACGGATCATATAAACCCGAAGGCAAATATAATACAAGCCCAAACGAAAAAATATAAACAAGTCTAAATTGAATCCTTTGAGTCTGAAATAACGATTATTATCTTATTGTATGATTTATTTCATAATAAACTCACTATGTTTTTGTATACAGTAAAAGCAGTTGTATAGCTACACTACATCATCACTACAGGCTTCTTATTTATACATCAAAGTAACAAGGCTTTACCTAGATAAGAGTAGGGGTATTTGTAAAGTGCACTATCCAAAATGAATCATTTGTCATAGCTTGATACAACTTATCAACATATCGTATATATTATATAATTAACAAGACAGGTGTCACATGTGGAGCAGGATCTGCTTACGCATCCGGAGCAAGTGAGATTACTCCCGGTTTGAGGTGGGATTCATGTTAATCAGTTGTTAGCTTTATATGTTGTGTTTTGTATACCGTTGTTTGTCTTTTTGTTTTCTGGCATGGCATTGTCAGGTTGTTTTAGACTTATGAGTTTGAATATCCCTTTGATATATTTCGTCTATGTTTGTCGTTGATATCAAAGACAATAAATATTTATCCCCAAAGTTTTGTTATCTACCAATACACTTTTTTAGAAATACAATAAGAATTTCTCGGAAAATCGTTTTGATTTAGTAGTTTTATAGTACGAATTTTTGGTTTAGTCTAAATAGTCGGTGAAGTGTATAGAAAATTGAATCAGCTGTTGGACTCATATACTCCGTATGCAGGTTATGATGGTGTATTGCTGTTGATTTGGGGAATATTTATTATTCTTTTCACATATCATATTGGCAATGAATCGACATGCACATACCAACTACTGTTGACCCAACATATATCCCAACAACGTATGGTTACTGAACAACAGAAAATCAAGTTAACTTGACCAGTACTGCATGAAAACAAGATTTGGCATTACCTGGATAATAAGGTCTTATTATAAAAAACATTCATGCAAATTTCTCATCTAGGAGGAGTTGGCGATAAAATGTTCAGATTATTTGCAAATTATTAATACTACAAAACAAGTTCCATTTTGCACCAAATTGACAACATTATTTTAGGTCCTTTTTGGTCATTTAGCTCTGCAACTACTTCGGTTCTTGTACATCCTTGGCTTTTAAATATTCTGCTCTGACTATTCCTATTGAAGGTGAATCCAAAAAAGCGCTTCGGACTCATGAAATTAATAAAGTATTGTTTTCAATTTTTTGGCTTCTTCACAAAGTCATTATTTTTAATAAACTGTGCAATAGCCGTGTAAAATGCATCTTTATAAGTAGGTTTGTATACTCAGTGAAGAAAGTATGGTATACATTTTAATTATATATTTCAATGGATTCTATCTGATTGGGATTTTTTTTCCTTTATTTATTTTATTTCAAAGTTAAGCTTTAGACTTCATTTCGGAATAATGTTGCTCATTGAATTGCATATCCAACATAGAACAGTGCATTAAAAACCAGAAAAGTCCTGAGGCAAGCATAGATAACAAGAACACAAATACATGCTGATAAATGGTGGTCGGATCACTGTGGCTGGATGAATGTCAAACATCAAGCAGCGTAATTGTGCAACACTATTCCAGACGAACATGTTTATGTTGATTGATTATAACATGTACTTGATAGACAATTGGGATACATTGCTAACATTCTCACTCACAAGATAAAAGAATAAAAAGAAGTCATGGCACTAAACAGTAAGTAAGCCCAAGACCATACCAGTCTTTTTGACTTACCGGTACTCCTCAATGCCACATACTTGTTGAATAAGCAGAAAATATCAATTTAAAGGTCTTTGATTTTACCTTAGAGGACTCACATGCACTACCTCCTGCATTTATGAATAAAATAAGCCAAAAACATGATATAGCTAGGATACATATAAAAGTTAAATCATTATATCAGATATGAATCACCTTTGCATTGCCTGCAACTGAAATCAAGATAGAGTTTAGAAATATAATAATAATTAAGCAGGTTATCAATATATATGAGGCCATTTCCAATTATATTAAAGACATTGGAAGAGTTTAATTTGGACCTTTAGTATAAATAGGTTAGAGTGTCATTTTACTTTTTTTACAAAACATATATATATGTGTCTACATGTCTGAAAATAGCTAGCTTATTTTCTAGATACCGATTTTTCCTTAGAAACTATAACATGTATATTCAGGACAATGACAATATATAATAAACTGTTAACACAGAGATATGTCTCGCCTATTTGTTATTTTGATAATGCAAATGTTGAAATTAAAATAGCAATACTTTAACATGTAAGTTATGCAAATATTCAAAGTCACTGAACCATGACTGAAGGTACAGGGCTAAACAATCTCCACGGAAATGAGATGTGCCAATGCTAATACAACTGCAAACCAAATACCATTGACTTTTCACAAGTCGTTCCCTTTAAACAACCTAAACACAAACATCAACTTGTAAACTATGTAAAAGTCGATGAACCATAATGAGGGGAGGGGGTTATATAATCTCCATGAAAATGAAACTTGCAAATTCCAAAACATTTGCATATCAAATATCATTGACTTAACATTAGAGGTTCATCTTAAACTGAACTAATCACAAACTAAAACATGTAAACTAAGCAAAAGTTTCAAAGTCAATAGACCATGACTGAGGTGTAGGGACCAAATATTCTCCATGGAAATAAGATGTGCTAATGCTTATACAAATGCATACCAATTATCATTGGCCTACCACTAACGGTTCCCCTTAAACTGACCTAATCACAAACTAATACATGTAAACTAAGCAAAGTTTCAAAGTCAATAGACCTTAACTGAGGGGGCGGGGCCAAATAATCATCATGGTAATGAGATGTGCCAATGCTAATACAACTGCATACCAAATATCACTAACCTACCACTAGTGGTTCACCATAAACTAGACCTAATCACAAACTAATACATTGTTGACACCACCGACGCCGCAAACAGCATACCTATGTCTCGCTTTTTGACTCCGTCAAGGCGAGACAAAAATACTCTGATACTTAGAACTCTGCAACCTTTTATTTTTTTTCAAAGAGCTACCCAATAAGTTAATAGTAAAACTTATCACTATTCCCTGACACAATATACTGACTGACTTCTGGCAAGTCTTTGCTTTTACTACAAAAGCAGCAAATATGTGTATCAATTTTAAAATCTTTGATCTAATTTAGCCTAGACTCAAACCAAGACCAAGCTGACACAGCAGTTACCAAAAAAATAAGTATCATCTTAAATTTACTATTGGTACACTTTAGTGAGTTTGTAAACATCCAGGCAATTATAGAAAAACGTGAAGCATAGAGTCAACTAAGCATGAGGTAGCATAAACATATTTTTGTTTAAATTACAAAAACTGATCAGTTATCAATTAACCAATACATAAGTAATAAGTAGAAGCAAGTTCTGATATTTTTTTGTGGTCATTAACATGTAAAAAAGAGCACTACCAATCAGCAGAATCTGAACTAATATATTATTAACATCTTTATTTGAGAATATATTTATATAATGTATATAATTCTACCAAAACATCAAAAAAATAATATTTAAATTATAAATGAGAAAGATAACATTATGATGGGTATACCACAATACATATAACAGAAGTAAAATATCAAAAATAAAATTAAACAATTAATAAGACAAAAAAATTAACGACAGATATACTTATTTCATAGATCATCAACACTTAACTAGTGCTGGAGTATTAAACAATAACAATTATGTTTGGGTTGTTATGTAGTTAAATGTTCAAGAAGGCCTGAGGACATTATATGTCATATATAAAGTAAGCGTCTCCCCACCCTATAATTCATCTCTTTAAACTTTAACTTTACAATCATTTCTTTAAAAGTCCTTACTCAAAAATGAAAGGTTACATTTAAAGAATGTATTATTTAGCTAAACTACAGGAGCACCAGGTCAATTTTGATTTCAAAAATGTTTCTTCAGAATTTTTTTATGTTATCTAACATTTCCAAATTCCCTCAGAGCATTTAAAAAGAAGCTAGGCAAATTTCCTGTGTTCTGTGTCTGACTGAAACACTTGAGTAAATGTGTAATAAATAAAGTATCATGAAAACTTAATGAATCATAGCATGTTTGAATAAATATGTTTGGTTTTGAAATCAAAATAATATACAAAATGTAACCATAGGGCATCATAAGTGTAAAAGAGGGAGGAAAGATACCAGAGGGACAGTCAAACTCATAGATCGAAAACAAACTGACAACGCCATGGCCAAAAATAAAAAGACAAACAGACAAATAATAGTACAGATGACACAACATAGAAAACTAAAAACTAAGCAACACGAACCCCACCAAAAACGGGGGTAATCTCAGGTGCTCCAGAAGGGTAAGCAGATCCTGCTCCACATGTGGCACCCGTTGTGTTGCTTATGTTTAACAAATCCGATAAATAGTCTAATTTGGTAGGTCACATTCGTAAAAAGGGAAGGCTATTGTAGTTAAGACATAAGGAACATATATCCGATATCATCTGTGAAACGGTTATTCCAGAACGGTCAACCAACTTGTGATGGCGTCCGTAAAATTTACGAAGGGATGATTTCAACTTCACCATTTGGAACTTTTGGTTTAATAGCTTCCTTGTGAGCAGCAATCCTCTATTAAGGAAATTATGATAGGAAATACAAGCCCGGGAATATTGTATCAATTGGGAGATATATACTCCGTATGCAGGCGCTGCTGGAATGTTGCTACATAGAAATGGAAAGGTTCACAATTTGGAAGCTGAAATCATCTCTTTTGTCGTAAAGTTTTGTTTTCAACCGACCCTCATTGTCAATTTCTAGATGTAAGTCAAGATATGAGGCAGACTTAACTGTATCTGTAGTATCCTTTATCTCTAGTTCGATGGGATAGATTCGTTCAACATAGTCACCAAATTTTGTATTATTTAGTGAGAGAACATCATCTATATAGCGGAACGTAAAGTTAAAGGATATTGCTAACTTCTTATCTTTCTTCCTAAGAAGTTCCTGTATGAAGTCAGCCTCATAATAATAAAGAAACAGGTCGGCAAGAAGAGGGGCACAATTGGTTCCCATTGGAATTCCGACAGTCTGTTGAAAAACACATCCTCCAAACGTAACAAATATGTTGTAAAGTAAATATGCACTAAATAAAAGCAAAAGTCAGCATCACAGATAAATAAGAAAAAGAAATAGTTCAAAACATATTGCACATTTCCAAGAATTTTTTCTTCATTTTATAACTGTCTATGACACAATTTACTTTGCTACTGATTGTATTAAAACAACCCAAAGAATTTCTTTTCTGTATTGATAAACACTTCTCCACAACTTAGCTTTAAAATGTTCCCAACTCCGGGTTTCTTCTGAAGCTCCTGTAAAAAAAAAGGACACATTTATATGTACATTGGTTACAACTTGTTGGTTTTGTATCTTTTATATCCTAGTCTTGTACAAATATCATTTTAAATTTCAACTAAAAGACAGGTTGATATTAAATGGGGCAAAATACCAGTCATGAATAGTGGTCAAGGAAATCAAAATTTGAATTCTGTATACCGAGAGCACAAGATCAAATAAACCTGGCCTCAAATAATTGTGCTTATTCAAAGCCAGAAATCAGATGTTTGAATACTTCTTTCTTTTCATTTGTACTTTATTTTGTATTGTCTACCTATTTTGCTTTTGAATTTATTTTTGACCTTGAAACTATTACCTTTCACACTTGGTGTTATCCTTAAATATGATTACCATAAATTTATCTCTTTAATTTTAGAATCAACAATACATGTATATAATTTAAATTTCTGACTGAAATATACTTTTTTCTCAGCAAATTTGGTATCAACAAATAAATAAAACAAGGAAAAGTATATCTAAAGTACTTTTACAGATGACAATAAATATGTGACATGAGAACAGATTGTCTAGGAAATTCAAATGAAACGATACAATTTTCAAGGTAAACCCTGTATCAACTTTGCTATTAAACCAACCTTCAGATTTTTCACCATATCAGCATACTTCTTCATCTTATCTTCCTCTTTATATTCTCCTTTCAAATCAAAACAGGAGATATCTAATGAGATCTGTATCTTCTGTAAGTGTTTAGAAGACTCTGAAATAGAATTGAATAATAAATCTCCACACTGACTATGACTTATACCATATTTCTCACTGCCTTGGTATTAAATTTTAAAAGAAATACTTTATGGTAGCCCATAATTCATTTGGCGACAAGTAGGCCATGTTTTCATGAACAAAAACCCCCAACTGAAGCATAAATAAATTGCTTCACTGAGCGCAGCTGGATACGACCGCAGATGTCCAACCCTGAAAAGTTGCGGCCAAAATGGACACATTATTCGCGCTTGATACAGGTCTGAATTTGGATTGTTATTAAATATTTGACACATAATAGGTTTCTGACACAGAATAAGTATAGTCAAAGAACTTAAAATTGGTTATATAATTTGAATTTATATTCAATTTTTTGCTTTTGTTCAATACACTATGCTGTTGCGAATTGCCCCCCCACCCCAAAAAAAATATTTGAAGAAATTTTCTTTTTAATTTCTGAAATCTGAAATGAGAAAAATTGTAGCCCCCCCCCCCCCCCCCCCCCCCCCTCCAATTTTTCAACTCCCCCTTTCCCTTATTCCAAAAATAATCTCAATTCAAATTCCTAATGGAGTTTGCAACCATAACTACTCATTTAAGGTGGTACCCAACAGGTGACACCAAAAATTTGCTGTCGTTTAATTTCTTTGATATTTTTTATGGTGAAACATAATGATATAACCTGCAAAATATCAAAAATTCTTGGAATTCTAACCAAGGGTTTCCGGACATTTTCAGTTTAAAACCCCCCTTAAATCAAAGATATAACCATACAAGGCTTAAAGAGTGGTTAATGGCTATTTTACTTTTTTGGGAGTAAAAAATAATAAAATTGCTTAACAATTAACATTATTTCGTTAGAGTGGAATCAGTTTCAGCTAATTAACCTGAAATTTAAGGCTATTTTAAAAGTTTTAGCCAAATCTTTAGCTGAAAATAGAATATTGTACAAGAAAAATACCTCAAATTGAAATGGCTAAAGATCCATTTTTTTAAAGAAATCAAAGATGTAGAAACATTGTGTCGTTTAATTTCCCTGAAAAAGTGCATATAATTCAAGGAACATTACTAGGTAACACTGTTTAAGATTTAGAATTTTTGAACCAAACAAAACCGACAACCAGCAAACTTTGTCATCCCCCCTTTTTTCCCTGAAAATGCCATTTTTAGTCTGTAAAAGTGCCTTTTTCTTAATAACTCTGTATTTATTTCATATAATTGTGACCAACTTATATGAATATTTACCTATTCCATTATATCACTTTAAACTTCATAATTTCCATACTTGCACTCATGTTCTGTACATTAAGGGAAAGCAGGGCGGTCATTAAGGGTCCAAAACAGACAACAGACACACTTTGTCATCCCCCGAAAATAATGCAATTTCAAGTCAATATAAGTGCGTTATTCTAAGAACTCTTTATCTGTATTTCTTATAAATGTGACCAACTTTTTATAATAGTAACTTATTTCATTGGATATATAGCAGTTTGACAAACACTAATTTTGATCATTGAGAAGCTTAATATTTACCTACCAATAGAACGTAATTAAAACGTTCAACTGATTTTTACGGAGTTATCTCCCTGTAGTGTTATGTACCACCTTAAATACATCATAAAATATTAAAATATTAAATGACATACAGTCATGGTTAAAATTAATATTAATTAATAGTAACTTCTAAAAATAAATTTACAGCTAATCATCTCAAGACAATCATCATTTCTTAATACATAATTTACAAGCAGTGTAAGGGAGGTAATCAAACATATATACAACAGTATTCCTTAAATGGATTGGATTACGTCCCTTACACTGCTTTTAAATTGTCTAAATTGTCCTTTAACCATAAAAACCCTTGTTTTTCCCCCCTTTTTTGCCCCTTATTGCTAAATGGTTTGAGCCATAACCCCCATAACCATCCCTTTGTTGTATGGAAACTTGTGGTATAATTTCAGAGAGATTCATACACTTAAACACAAGTTATTGTCTGGAAACTGCAAAAATGCTTATCTGGGCCCCTTTTTTGGCCCCTAATTCCTAAACCTTTGGGACCATAACCCCCAAAATCAATCCCAACCTTCCTTTTGTGGTTATAAACCTTGTGTTAAAATTTTATTGATTTCTATTTACTTATACTACAGTTATTATCCGGAAACCATCTGTCTTCGGACGACGCTGACGACGCTGACGACGACGACGACGACAACGTGATACCAATATACGACCAAAAAATTTTAATTTTTGTGGTCGTATAAAAATCATGGGTAAATGATCTGAAAATATACTTACTTGCTGTTCAATGTGAGCCAAGGCTCCGTGTTGTACTTTGACCTATAATTGTTTACTTTTTACACATTGTGACTTGGATGGATAGTTGTCTCATTGGCACTCATACCACATCTTCTTATTTATATTTACCTATTGATCAATGAAAGATAATTTTTGGGGTACCAGTATTTATTTTTTTATTCTCTTTTATCTTTATAAATAAACATTCAATAACTATAGAGGGGAACTGGTATTTGTAGCTGTGCAACATAAACAGTTTCACCATTTGAATACTCAATTTAATACATTTTAACAGATTACAGAAAACAAAGAGAAACTTACTGTATAATTGTAGGATTGCCTTTGCTTCTACTGGAGTGAAATTGAAATAGATTTGCTGTAAATTATGTAACCCTAGCCTACATACAGCAACCATTGTATCCTCTGTTACTGTTATACCATAATGCATCTCTAACTTAGTCAACCTTTGACAACTCTTAGCTAAAATGTAAAATGTTAAATTTTGTTTGGCAAAGGTTAAAAGCAATAGCTGTGGATTCATTTATTTTTATGGGTTCCACTTTTCATCGATTAAGGAAATATTGTTAGATTTCATGGATATACAAAAGTCTGCACACAAGCCTTTAGAAAATTTGTACTTCATTGAATATTTAAATTCGAGGTTCACCTGTCCCAACGAAATCCACGTAAAGTGATATCCCACAAATAATAACTGCATTGACTCATAGGCTGCTCTAACAAAGGCACAGATACATGTATTAAGCAATTTTCTCCAACATTTGCATAAGAATACAGTTAATACTACTAATTTATCTTTATATACTTTTTAAAGTAAATTGGAGATACCTTAAAAATAAAATTGAGAATGGAAATGGGGAATGTGTCTAAGAGACAACCACCCGACTATAGAGCAGACAACAGCCGGAGGCCACCAATGGGTCTTCAATGCAGCGAGAAACTCCCGCACCCGGAGGCGTCCTTCAGCTGGCCCCTAAACAAATATGTATACTAGTTCAGTGATAATGGACGTCATACTAAACTCCAATAATAATGGAGATACCTTGAATACTTCAAATATGTACTATGATGCATCATCATTATACACATTTTGCAAATAAGTATCCATCAACTCACTATTTTGCATAACATATTCTTGGGTTGCTGTACTAATGAACAATGTAACTTTATTTTTACCTATCAACACAAGTCCATTCATATCAATTTCTGTTCCACAAACACAGAGAGTCTGTAAATCTTGACAGAACTGTGAAATCACTTGTAAACATTTGTTGTTAAACTTCACACCTACTGCTGAACTGAAATATGATTGATCTTATTAGATAACATATTCAGAATCAGATAACATATTCAATAATTATTTTTTAATTGAAAATATAATTGGTTACTTCTCACAGATGTTGTGCTCCAAAATTAACTTCAGGATAAGTTAATACAGATCAAGCAATATACTATTCTGTTTCAATTTCTCCTTCACTGATCTTTGTTTGTATTTTGTGACAGATGGACAATAATTTTTAGGTGTTAATATAAATTGATGGAATATTTAATAAAAATAACAAAGATTTTTAATTTAACTGAAATGAGGTAAATTTATTAATATTGAATTGAGATCTCAAAATACTTGATAAAACCTATCACATTTTCATGTGCTTGTCCCAAGACAGTAACCAGTAGTTGTCTGGTGTCTCATCATTATTTGCAGAGTTAGCTTTGGATTCAGATCTTTGTTTAAAAGATCACATCATTTTTTGTCGTTGGGTAGCTGTCGCATTGTTATGTATACCCCATATCTCCTTTTATTCATAATACACAAAGCATGATATTTTCCATTTCCTTTTTCCTATGTTTTTGTTTTCGTGGCAAGATTTTAAAAATTAAAACATGACAATGCTCCTTGTTAACTACTATATACATACTAAACTTAATAAACTTTTGTCTTACCTAGGATCAGTAAGAGTTATGTTTAGATATGAGATGTCGCGACAACCAGCTCCTAATGCCCAGATAACATCAGCTCCAGGTAAATCTGTATTACAGATATATGTAACTTTTCTGACAACACGGCTATAACAACTGACCAACCACAAACCTCTGCATTAAAATATAATCTATATATAAGATTGATTGATTGATATTTTCATAACAAAGTACTCCACACAATACACTATATATTTAGACAAATACAACAATAATAAATATTTTTGTAAAAACAGACACAAAATTGATATTATCTGAGAAGGGAATATTATAATAGCATTATGGAAAAAAAACTTTTAAAAGTACTTTTAAACATCAACATGATCAATGTACAAAAAAGACCTGCTTTAGGATTGATATATTAAAAATTCTTATAACATAAAAAAAAGGTGAAAAATTTATTCACTAGAATTTGAATGATCATGAATTCAAAGTAAACAAATTTAATCTTACTTATCTGTGATGATATTCTCACAGTGTATAATGGTGGCTGTTTTCAGTGTTGACTCAGATACTTGTAACAACTTCTCAAGTCCTGGTTCTAAGACAGCCCTGTAATGATACACATATTTTTTTTTCTTATACATCTTATTCCTGTCCTTTACCAAAACAAAATGTTACCCCAAAAAGTAAGATTTGACTGTTGCCAATTCATTTTTTAAATGAGAATTTGAAACACCCATTTACTTGAATAGTTTGTTTATGCTTTTCATATTTTGTATAAGTTTGTGCAGTAATTTGTAAGCAGAGTCAATTCAGTAAATAATGAGGTATGGTCAATTTCTTCTTTATTCACTTCACTATGACAGAAAATGGTAGGCAGGTATACATACAGATAAACAAAGTGACAGACAGACAAGTAGACACTGACATGAAAACATAATCCCCCCAACTATCATAGGCGGAGCATTTTCAATCTTTTACTTTTAAGTATTTTTATTGAGTAAAATGTGAAATACCTTGTCCTATTATTGTAGTCTTCTTGAGTCTCAAACTCTTTCTTTTCTCTTGTCTTTAGACCTATATAACAACACATATTTGTTTAACTTGTCAATTAAAGTATTAATTTATAAATCAACACAAATAAAACACTGGAATAAAAGACATAATAATTGATTTTTAAATTACTTGTGCTCAATTATTCTTTATGTTAATCCAGTTTTAAGGATTAATAAACTGTTGCCACAGCAATATGTCTAGCCTTTATGTAATTTTGACAGTATCATGAAATTGTTGAAATGAAAATGGCAATACTTTAACATGTAAACTATGCAAGCATTCAAAGAATGAACTATAACTGAATGTGCAGGCCAAAAAACCTCTATGGAAATGAGAAATGCTAATGTAAATACCAAATGTCAATGACTTCTCATAAGGGATTCCCTTTTAATTGGCCTCATCACAAACTTTGATAAGATGGAAACAGCACACATAAGTCTCCCTTTTTAACTTCAATGACAATGATAAGGCAAATGTTTTACTGTAAAATGCAGAACAATTGACAAAGTATAAAAAAAAAATAGTAAAAAGGTAACAAACCTATAACAAACATATTTACTTCAAATTCTTATTTCTCATACATATCAATATACACTTATCTAATTTCTTACCATCCAAATGCAAAGTTTCCATACTTGTACACCACTTAGCAATATTCAGTAAAAACTGAAAAAAAATGTTTACATGAGAAGGCATCAAAAATATATATGGAGATTAAAAAAATCTCAAAGTTTCTATAAATACTACATTACTTATCCGAAGATTGGTAATTTACATCAGTAATAATGTTAAAAATTCAGGAGTTTTATGTCTCAACACTTGATGATCCCTTGTTTGAAAATGTGTAAAGATTTCTTACCCTAATGAGATTTTCGAAAATGAGTAGAACAAACGTTAAAGCATAAAAATATATGATAGGAAAGAAAACCCTAAAACCAACATAGCTTATGTTAGACATGAATAAACTGTTTAATGAGTAATCAAAACGTACTGGTATAAAACAAATATCAATATATACTTTTATATGAGTTTGACATTTCTTAGTGTCCATTTTAGTTTGATAGTGAGTCATTTTTTCAAATTTATTTATCTTGGATATTTCTAAGCAACTTATCTTCTTAAGTTAAGTGAATGTAAAAATTTCTCAGCATATATTATTCCTAACTAACCTCTAAAGAACACTTTTGGTTCTTCAAATAAACATGTTTCCATAGCGATGGATGTCTGCTGATTTTCTTCCATTCCCTACATACTAAAGCTACTTGTATTAAACTTGAAGTGTCCAGGAAACTGAATATACGACACAGAGCCTGGCGTCTCTTTCTAGTTATCTCCCTTTGAGAATACTGAGAGAGTCTCTCCGACAAAACAGAATCTACAATTATAATAATTTTTTTTACATATTTTACTATCTCCAGTAGAAGCTGCTAACAGAAGCAAAAATCTATGATGAATTATTACTATTGTTAGTGTCTCTTTTGTGGATTGTTCATCCATATTTCAAGTCAGCAGTTAAGTACTTTGGGCTTGCTATCAGTAATAGAAAGCATTGTTTGATACAGTATACATGATATTTGTTTCGTCTGTACTTTTGTTTTAATCTATTATATAGCTATTCTAAATCTAAGAGCTTCTCCTTATTTCATTTTCCTTTGTTATTCTACTGAGATTAAAGAATAGAAGGGAGAGTTGAGATCTCAAAAATTACTTTAACCCTACACACTGCTAATGTACCTGTCTCAAACCAAATACCTTGTCAGTTGTTGCCTATGTCTTCATTTATTTATTCACAACATTACTAGACTAGAAGTGCTTTTCAGCTATAAATACATGTATTGTATAATGTTGAATATGGAAGACCATGTGTTGATTGTCAATGGGTTTTTATATACCTATTTACACTTTTGGTATTTAGCTGAATTGTGTATCAGAATGACCTTAGATCTGTCTCCGAATAACCATTTGACTTCAAGCAACAATCAATTTTTAATTAAAATGTCAAATTTTGTGATGTCAAATTTTACAGGAATTTGTGTGATTTTAAGTAATAGCGGACAAATTTGCATACAAGTGTAAATATGTCTATTGTGTCCCTGGCATGCTGTAGCATTTATGCATACTATACATATCTCCTTTTATCCTATCAATTAATTTGTATGACTACAGAAGTATATTAGCAGAATGATCACATTTCTAATGACTATTTTTTAGAAAAAAATGCATCCTCTTAGATCAGGCACGGATCCAGGGGTTGATGTTTAGGGGACCCAATAATGACTCTAACCTTTTTTAAGGTATTCATACATTTCTGAAGCAGATGTCTATTTCCCTATGTTGTGTGTGTGTGTGTGTGTATCCTTTTTGTGAATAGTTGTAATATTGAAACACCATTGCCTTATATTCTTTACTTGAAAATAATCCTAAGGAGAGTATTGAATTCTGAACACTGGATATGAATGTTTTTTAATACCTGATGCACTTATAAGAATGCATGTTAATGATTACTAGTATTTTTCATTTGAATATATTTCATTTATTTTAAAAATTTTCATTTGAAATTATCCTTGGAACACCTATTTCTTCTTCAAAAATAATCAATATAATGTAATCTATGAAGCCATCCACTTTTTTAAGATGATGAAATCTACTACACTGACCTTGTGATGATGACCTTGACAGAGAAAATCCGTCCATACTGGACACTGACTGTGGATATTCATCTTCTATTTCTGTATCTGGCTGTGCAAAAAATGTTTTATCTATTGATTCTGGGGTCAATGTTTCCTCTACCATCATAATATTTCCTATATCAGTTTCATCTACCTGTTAACAAAAATTAATCTGGAATATTCGTTTGCAAATTAATATAATAAGATAATATATATCAATAATAAAACTATTCCAGCTGATTTAAAGCTAATTTCCTTGATTCTGTGTTTTGTAGTGTAAATAATATTTTAGGCTCCTTAAATAATGTCTTTAAATTTACCAATATTAATGAGCTGATAAAACGGTAAAAAACCTATAATTATAATGGTCACTACAGTGATTGTACTAATAATTTCTCCTTTATTTCAAAAGGCATATGTATTCAATATAATATCCTAATGAAATATTCTATGTTTTAAGCTGCTTTGGTGCTATCATATGTAAGACATAACATTACCTGTTCCAGAATATTTTGTCCAGTAGTCCTCCCAACGTCTACAGATAACTGTCTACTTAAGCTTTTCCTCCTATCACCAACCATCATTACCTCCTCATTGGGAGGCAGAACATCTTCTTCATTAACTGCATCACCTTCAGTATCACTGAAAACTGTCAAACTCTCATTTCTACCAAATATTTTATTACTACACACACTGTCTGTGCTCTTGTCATAAATTACAGAATCAACTTCTTCTTCTGTATGAGCTTCTACATTTTCAAAATCTTCTAAAATTTGTGGAGACAAAGTCAGTGATTCAACTGCATTATTGAATTCTTTTCCTTGATTATCAGAATTCTGATGGAAATGGCCTACTGTATTATGTAATGGGTTGACAATTGTAGCAGGTTGTGTCGCTTTCATTAAATTATCATCATGTCCTGATTCCTTTTTCATTCCACAAATTAAATCATCTGAGTTATTTGTCTCATCAGGGGAAAGGTTTATTAAATCATTTTTAGAACCAATATCTCTTGAGGTCAAAGGTTTAGTTTTTCCAGAATCATTGGAATCAAACTCCTCAAAAACAACTGGACTTTTTAAAACAGGACTTACAGAGTTTTTCAAAGATTTATTGTCAGGTTTACAATTAAATAGTAAATTATCCCCTCCTTCTGCTATGGATGAATACATAGAGTTTGAACTTAAACTATTTTCATTTAAACTTTCCTGTTTTAATTCTTCAAACAAATCTCTTTGCTTTTTATTATTTTCAAATTTATTCACGTCTGATAGACTTTGTTCCATAGCTAGTGCATTCTTTTGTGTTTTCTTGTTTTGTAGAGGTTCCTGTCCATTCTTATCCTCAAAAGAATTTTCCATTCTACTGTTTGGAAGTATTCTGGAATGTGAGATAGAATTTTCTGAAGAAGATGCCATTAAACTGCTATCATCCATCCTGTGGCTAGTGTTACTTGTAGATAGCGAATCAGATTCCATATATTCCTTGTCAATCATCCAAGTTTGGGTAGAACCGTCTGTGGTTTCTAGCTCTGGTTTCACATTGCCATAATTTCGGAAGGGAGCTTGAGAATTCAAACTTTGTTCATCAGAGCATTTGTTAAAAGATTTATGTATATTATCATCATGTTCTGATCTTTCTTTTTCTAATCTGTATCTCAAAGTATCATTTGTCAATTCAGCTTGACTTCCTGACTCCTTCAAAAATGGTAGTTTCATGATCTTTTTAATGTTTTCAGAAAACAATTTTCGTTCTTCAATGAACCTATCTGACAATTTCAGTCTAGTAGTACTCTGAGACGGGTAACCAGTTTGTTTTGGGGAACCATGTTTGTTATTTCCTAATGGAACCCTTTCCATGCCTGAAATGTTGTGTTTGCTGGGTGTATCTGATTCCCAGAGTATTCCATTTTCATCTATTATCTTTTGGAATGAAGAATTATTTTCACTTTGAATTGTATCTGGAATATTAAAATTCAACAAGTTATTTACATTGTGAAACATACAGAACTGATAGGTTACATATTCCAATAGTCCAATTAAATAAATGCAGTACAAACTTTCTATTTTTATTCACATAGTCACATCAAGTGTCAAGAATTAAATCTGAGTTACTATTTAGAAAGACTGGTATCCTCACAGTCCTTTATCTGTTTAGTCCTTAAACAGAAATATAAATCAGGTATTAACCAACATTTTTTGCCATTATTTTCAATCACTACATGTATACTGCATACTTATTGTCATTGAACAAATAATGATTCAGTCATCAAAGCTGTTTGTTACTTGACGTTAGCTACATTATATCCCTGCATACAATTTATCTTTAATAGGGCTTGTGCACTGATTGATACTTTAGTCTGGGAGAACATAATTTATTTATTATTTGTAATTGGCTTTGAACTAGCTTTCAGTAACTGTGGGTTCTCTTAAATCAGTACTTTGTGTATACATATTATATTTATGTTAGTTGTGTTTTGAGTAATTTAATTAATATTGAATGGAATCAAATTTAACAAAAAAGAAGATTTATTGTTAAATTTGATTCAAAATGAATTTCATTTCAAATTTACATAACTCCTGTAAAAATAATAGATCAGCGCTGATTTTTCAATTTGTCGGAGACATTGCTAATATGATCCTTTGATATAAATTTCATAAATATCTGGCAAGAATTGTACACTTTAGATCGCTTATAATGCAACTGTCCCTATAATTTATGTTTCCAAGGACATACAACTCCTTTAAACACAATTGAGCATCACTGATTTTCACACTTTTCCGAGACAGTGCTGACATAAACCTTGGATATACATTTCACAAATATCTGGCAGGAATTGTTCCCTTGGAGAGCACTTACAATGCAATTTTCCATATAATTTTATTTCCTAAATAATATTCCTTTTAAGATAATTGATCAGCACTAATTTTCGAACTTGTCAAAGACATTGGCATTTATAAGGATGGACGGTCAAATGGACGCCTGGAACTCTATGTCCCCCGCAACAATTTGTGTAAGAGACAAAGATGTATTCTTGATTTCAATAATATGAAAAATAAGGGAGTATCCTGATTTGATTTTGCAGCAAAACTCAATTAGTCTCAATAAAATAACAACGTAAAAAATGAAGAAATTAATCATGATGTTATCATGTTTTTTGTCATTCATCACTTCAGCTTGAATGATAAGGACAGCAAAAAAATAAATGTTATGATCTCATAGATTTCATATTATTGAAACAGAAAAAAATCTGTGGAAAGAATTTTGAGAAACAGCAATTTAGTGAAAGAACGTTTTCACTGCTTTTCAAGACATTCTGTATATTTCATATCTTTTTAATTGATTGTATCTTTGAAAGTATAAATCCCATGTATATATATTTTTTCGATATTCAGATGCAGTTCACTTGGTTCTAAATGCATACAAAATTGGATATAAATCTGAAATAATGCCCAATTACATTTACTTTGCCTTAAATGAATTCAGGTATAATCAGCCATAAGAAAAGCGATTTTGAATTAATATCTTACCATCAGTAATAGACAAAATATCTGACAAAGAGTTATCTCCTCCTTGTCCAGGTAATTTTTGTCTGTCTGAACTAGACAATGATAAACCAGCTTTGTACTGTCTTCTTGGAAGAGCTTGTCTGTCTGAACTAGATAAATACTGGTCAGAATAACTGCCTGGTGGACATGGCTTAGAGCTTCTAGAAGCTGACTGTTCATAGCTGTTGTCTTTAATATACAGTCCAGAAGATCCTGATGACTGTATTGGATAAACTTTTGGCAGGTTAAGTCTACCAGAACTAGATAGAGACTGTTCAAAATGTCTGTCTGGCAGGTAGTGCCTACCAGAACTGAATTCTGATTGCTCAGGATACCTGTCTGGTAGGTTGTTTCTAGCAGAACTAGACAATGACTGTTCTGGCTCTTCAACATGCATATACTGGCTAGCTGAATGGGGCATGGATCTGTAAGGCAAGTTTGTGGCTGGTAGGTCATGATACTCAGAGATAGGTAAGGACTGGCTAGAATTCTGTTGTGATTGGTAAGATTCAAATGGTTGAACAGGATGTTGATTTTTCATTGGATATTTAGCCACCTGCAAATATAATCTCTTTAATAAAATATACAATAATATCTTTATTACTGTGGATTAAATTAATTTTGTGGGTAGCAATTTTTGTGGATTGAGGAAAAATTGTTATATGGCGGATATATGATATTGTGGTTTTGCACACTGCATACAAGCATATAGAAATTACATATATGTTAAACATTTTAATTTGTGATTCGCCGTTACCAATGAAATACACAAAAATTGGTATCCCACGAATAATAATGAATCCACAGTATATCGTCTTGTACTTATAATTGTTGTATGATCTGATGATATAATATAATTCTACAATGTTTTTATTTTTTCAAAGAATGCGCGAGTTAAGTATCATATATTGTTTACTATAGGATTTGAGGATGGCACAACAGCATCAGTGAGAGATTGTTGGACAAGTTTAAACCTACCAATGATGGTTTTGAGAATTTTAATTAACATACATGAGCAGAAATGCTTCAAGAGGTAGACAAGGATCACATGAATACTTCGAATGGGTTCTCAGAAATAAATTGATGTAGGGGGAGAAAACTTTGACATAAAATCTTCGGAGATTGGGAAACTAATTTGAACTGGATATTTTAGTGGAAAGAACAATGAACAAAAGGAGTAATGTTCCAGTGCTAAGTACATGTAGAAAGGAGAACCCAACCATGTGTCTAAAATGTTTAAATGTTACAGCTTTATTCTTGAAGACATGATCTGACTAACTATACAAGGAATCAAACCTTACAATATTAATAGGCCAATGTGCTATAATTGTGTTCCTCCTGGGAGTAATTGGTCACCTGAGCATAATCAGATAAACAACAGGATCCAAAGAGCCTGTATAGCTAGCCTGATAAAGATATGCCATTTTGATATTAATTTTTCACCTTTATTGCAATCTAGTATTGCTGATTATTTTTGCAGCCCATAGTTTGAACCTATCTATTATAGTTTTTAAGATAATTGGCAAAAACACAACAATTAGTCAAAAATCAACATTGTTTTAAGGGCAATAACTTCTATTAGGACTCATCCAATGATTTCACTCATATTGGTTTTTTCGTATATCCTGTATTACTGATCATTATTGCTATTACAGTTTTTAATCTACCCGGTATCTTTGACAGTTCTTGAAGTAAGTGGCAAAAACACTCAAAATACATAAAAAATTGACAATAGTTTTGGTCATAAACTAAGGCTTTTTTGTAGAACCTATATTGTTGATCAATTTTCAGAATATTTGGAAGTCATTTGATAATTCTGGTGAGAATAAGGAGTAGATGAATCCTGACATACTGAGTATGTTTGCTCCTGTCAGATTTTCATTATCTAATATGATTTCAATATCTAATATGATTTTCAATACCCTGTATATTAAACAATTAAATCATTTTACCCTTGTGTTCTATTTTGAGCCATGGTGGCCATGTTTGTTGTCTGATCAAATAAAAAAAACTTCATTATACTAGATACCATAAGAATTTTCCCTAATTTTAGTTAAAATTGGTTTAGTAGTTTGAAAATTTTATGCCTTAATAAGTTGGCCACCACTTTCTTTTGTAAAATTTGAACAGATTTATCAGAAGGCAATATGGAGAAAATGTAATAAGTAAAAGTCAAAGCAGAAACATTGATTACTTGGTTGATGACAATACACCAGTAGTAGTTTAGACCAATAGAAGACGAAGTATATTTTTTGGATGTCAAATTAACCAAGAAAACTTACACATGTTTTCTCTTGTATTTTTCTTAGAGATAAATAGATATTAAACTAGAAACTCCAGGAGCCTGTATCCCTCACCAGAAATTTTTGCATTAATTTGATTACAGCCAGATTATTTGTGTTAAATGCAAACTGTGCAGGCCATAATCTTGTCTTGTTGTTCATTTTTGCTGGAAGGTTCTGTATATCCATTATAGTTTAAAGATAAAAAGCGAATATACTCTTCTGGTTTAAAAATATTTTACCAAATATCATTCAATATACAACAGAAACATCTAAAACTTGAAATTTTAAAGATTATACTATCAAAAAAATAAGTGTTGTTTTAAGTGTATTTAAAATTTTCAGAAAAAAATCCTTTTAAAATCAAGGGCAGATATATATTTATTCTGAATTTTAAAGGACAATTTGTGTTTTTTTTATTTTTCAAGAAAATAAGGCCTGTGACCCCTATTTTCATTTGATATTTCGAAAGTATTTATGAAAAGCAATTTTCTCATTGAATTTTAACCAATTCTATTGTTTAATATTTCCTCAATAAGGAAAAATTAAGTTTCCCCTATTTACAAATGATTTAACCCATACAGAATAACTGTTAATTTCAATGTATTTTAGCGAAAAAACAAGGTCCCTGACACCCAGTATTTATATTGGAATTTGAAAGAACATTGAACCAGAAGTCTTTTACAGAAGTTTAAGAAAAATCTATCGTCAAACATTTAGACACCCCAGCTACCTTATGGGTAATAACACCTATATCGAGCAGACTGGAGATTTCGGTCACTTAATTTTATTAGATGCAACAAAAGGAATCAATTAAAAATTACATTCATATTGACTTATTGGTAGATCTTGTATTGATTATTATTTTTTCTATTCAATGTTCCAGGACTGGAACATTTTGAAAAAAAAAAGATCTCATTTTTCTGGTGTTTTTTGCATTTAGTTTCTCTCTATAGATGTCTTTCAAATTAATGCATTTTCATGTACATTTTCAATGTCACAGTAAATGTTGATTGTTCAATAATATCATTTACAGCAATTGACCTTCAGGTCAACTAGCATAACTCATTCATAATAAAATGCTTCGCTGGGGCGCAGCTTGATACGACCGCAGAGGTCGAACCCTGAACAGTTGGGGCAAGTATGGACACAACATTCAAGCTTGATACAGCTCTGAATTTGGATTGTTATTAAATATTTGACACAGCATAGGTTTCTGACACAGAAAGAATGTGGTCTAAGAACTTGAATTTTTTGAATTTACCTATTATGGTCCAATGTCCAAAATCAAAATACATGGTTAGATTCAGCATATCAAAGAACCCCATATATTCAATTTTTGTTAAAATCAAACAAAGTTTAATTTTGGACCCCAACTTGGACAAACTTGAAAACTGGGCCCATAATCAAAAATCTAAACACATGTTTAGATTCAGCATATCAAAGAACCCCAAGAATTCAATTTTTGCTAAAATCAAACTAAGTTTAATTTTGGACCCTTTGGACCTTAATGTAGACCAATTTAAAAAACGGGACTTAAAATTAAAAATTTAAATACACGGTTAGATTTGGAATATCAAAAAACCCCAATAATTCAATTTTTGATGAAATCAAACAAAGTTTAATTTTGGACCCTTTTGACCTCAATATGAACCAATTTGATAGCGGGGCCCACAAATAAAAAATCTAAGTTCATGGTTAGATTCAGCATATCAAAGAACCCCATATATTCAATTTTTGTTGAAATCAAAAAAAATATAATTTTGGACCCCAACTTGGACCAACTTGAAAACTGGGCCCATAATCAAAAATCTAAACACATGTTTAGATTCAGCATATCAAGGAACCCCAAGAATTCAATTTTTGTTAAAATCAAACTAAGTTTAATTTTGGACCCTTTGGACCTCAATGAAGACCAATTTAAAAAACGGGACCCAAATTAAAAATCTAAAAACACGGTTAGATTTGGCATATCAAAGAACCCCAATAATTCAATTTTCGATGAAATCAAACAAAGTTTAATTTTGGACCCTTTTGACCTCAATATGAACCAATTTGATAGCGGGGCCTACAAATAAAAAATCTAAATACATGGTTAGATTCAGCATATCAAAGAACCTCATATATTCAATTTTTGTTGAAATCAAACAAAAGTTTAATTTTGGACCCCAATTTGGACCAACTTGAAAACTGGGTCCATAATCAAAAATCTAAATACATGTTTAGATTCAGCATATCAAAGAACCCCATATATTAAATTTTTGTTGAAATCAAACAAAGTTTAAATACTGGAACCTATCTTGGACCAACTTGAAAACTGGGCCCATAATCAAAAATCTAAACACATGTTTAGATTCAGCAAATCAAAGAACCCCAAGAATTCAATTTTTGTTAAAATCAAACTAAGTTTAATTTGGACCCTTTGGACCTCAATGTAGACCAATTTAAAAAACAGGACCCAAAATTAAAAACCTAAATACACGGTTAGATTTGGAATATCAAAGAACCCCAATAATTCAATTTTAGATGAAATCAAACAAAGTTTAATTTTGGACCCTTTTGACCTCAATATGAACCAATTAGATAACGGGGTCCACAAATAAAAAATCTAAATACATGGTTAGATTCAGCATATCAAAGAACCCCATATATTCAATTTTTGTTGAAATCAAACAAAGTTTAATTTTGGACCCCAATTTGGACCAACTTGAAAACTGGGCCAAAAATCAAAAATCTAAATACATGTTTAGATTCAGCATATCAAAGAACCTCATATATTCAATTTTTGCTAAAATCAAACAAAGTTTAATTTTGGACCCTTTGGACATTAATGTAGACCAATTTGAAAACTGGACCCAAAATTAAAAATCTAAATACACTGTTAGATTCGGCATAACAAATAAATAAATGTGATCAAAGATTTTACAAATCTAATGCGCCATACTGTGCAATTAAAGATTACTTCTTGAAATTTTTCAATATTTGAAATTTGAAAAAAAAATAATATTTGAAGAATAATTCTTTTTAATTTCTGAAATCTGAAATGAGAAAAAATTGGCCCCCCACAATTTCTTTTTATCCCCCCCCCCCCCCTTTTTCCCCAAAAAAAATTCTTTCCCTCAAGATATGGTCATAATCTCAATTCAAATTTCCAATGGAGTTGGCAACCATAATTACCCATTTAAATTTACCATAGTGCTAACTTAATCTATTTTATAATAGAATTAATAAAAATATAGTGTCAAATCTTTCATATGGATTTTTTTGTAAAAAAAAAAGATGAAAACATTTGCAGATATTTTTACTGGTCTTCCTTTATAAATATGCATTTCTTTAAACATAATTTAAAAGCAGTGTAAGGGAAGTAACCAAAACATTGTATTTGGATTACCTCCCTTACACTGTTTTAGATTATCTTTATTGTTCATTAACCATTACTTTATACATAATTTAAAAGCAGTGTAAGGGAGATAATTTCAATGATGTATTTGATTTATCTCCCTTACACTGCTTTAAATTATGTTTTGTACTAAAGTATTTGTCCATTAACCAGGACAACCTTGTTTTTCCCCCTTTTTTGCCCCTAATTCCTAAACGGTTTGAGCCATAACCCCCCAAAGCAAATCCTAACCATCCCTTTGTGGTACGGAAACTTGTAGTATAATTTCAGAGAGATCCATACACCGTTCCACAGTTATTGTCTGGAAACTAGAAAATGCTCATTTTTGGCCCCTTTTTGGCCCCTAATTCCTTAACTGTTGGTACCATAACCCCCAAAATCAATCCCAACCTTCCTTTTGTGGTATTTAACCTTATGGTCAAATTTCAAAAAGATCCATTCACTTAAACTAAAGTTAGAGTGCGAAAACCAATATGTATTCGGACGACGACGCCGGACGACGACGACGACGACGACGAAGAACGACGCCAACGTCATACCAATATACGACCACAAAATTTTTTTGCGGTCGTATAAAAACAACTTGCAATTGGTCTATCTACTATAGTTTCCATAGAAAAGACAAAAAAACTGAGTAAATAAGTCATTCAAGTTGAATAGTTTTGACCAGGACTTATCTGTAGATGTTGTCTAGTTGTTTATTTTTTTGTTCAAAGTATCTCCCTATCTATCGCAGTTTCAAGATTAAAGCCAACACATGAAAAATGGGTAAAAGGACTGAAGAGAAGAAGAATGTTTCAGTAGTTTAAGACAATAGGCAGACTTACACATGACAGATGATGACAATGAATGCTAAATAATGGCAATAGCTCACATGGCTCTTTTGGCCAGGTCAGCAAATAAAAACTAATACCATATCTCCAAAATAAAATAAACATGCTGGGTTCAATTCTTAGTTTAAAAGATAGCAACAAAAAATTAAAAACAATTCAAAAGCCCATGCTTACCGCAAAAAAGAAATAAAACTAAGGTTGTAAAACAACATGCTGTAAAACTAAGTCTGACTTCCATTGGATAGAACGGTGGTTACAAATCGGTGATCTGCATGCTATAAAACTAAGTCTGACCACCAGTGATTAAAACCAAAATTGTGCTGAGCTTCTAAACTTTACTCCTCCGAATAAAACCAAAGTTGTAAATTATCATGCCGTATACTTTGAATAACCTCAAATGTATGTTCTGTGTCTTTTTTGTATGGACTATTTATTAGATTCTCAGTGGCATCTTTCTTGTCCAAATACTGATTACGGTTGTTTGGTCCTAATCGATTTTGATGTGACAGAAAGTAGGATGGATCTTTTTCATTCCTATCTTGATTTGATCTTGTTAATTTGTTTCCAGATGCATTTTGCTCTAAAGTCTGATAGTTTTGGTGAGTGTTTGTTTCATACAACTTAGGAATAATTCCAGAAACTCTAGGATTTTGCATATGACCTTTGTCAATATCGTAAGGTGTACAATATTTGTAATCATACATTTTCGGATGAGTATCAAATTTTCCAACTCCATCTGGTGAAAAATGTCCTTCCTTACTAAATTTTGTGCGCAAATTTATATCATTTAAGCAATCTGCATGTCCTTGAATGGTGGACACACCCTTTCTTCGAGGAGAAGCTATTCTGCTGTCATGGTAACCAGAATCAGATAGTGAAGGGCTATATGGCACTGTATTGTCTAAAGGTTTAAATCTTGTGTTTCTGGGATAACCACTCTTGATTTTTGTAACTGGAACTTGTCTGAAATAAAACATTTATAAGATGGTATATGAACACAAGTACTGCATTAATTATTTGAAGAGTCAAAGAGTATGATTTCATACTAAAATTTTCTTTCATTGCAAACCAACAAATTAAATTTAATGTTTTTGAACTACAGCTATTTCCCCTTGACTGTATACTGGAACTAGAGGCTCTAAAGAGCCTGTGTCGCTCACCTTGGTCATGTTGGTCTATGTGCATATTAAACAAAGGACACAGATGGATTCATGACAAAATTGTGTTTTGGTGATGGTGATGTGTTTGTAGATCTTACTTTACTGAACATTCTTGCTCCTTTCTATTATCTCTATCTATAATGAACTTGGCCCGGTAGTTACAGTGGAAAATATTTTGTAAAAATTTACAAAAATTTACAAAATTTATGAAAATTGTAAAAAATTGACTATAAAGGGCAATAACTCCTTAAAGGGTCAATTGACAATTTTGGTCATGTTGACTTATTTGTAGATCTAACTTTGCTGTACATTATTGCCGTTTACAGTTTATCTCTATCTATAATAATATTCAAGATAATAACCAAAAGCTGCAAAATTTTCTTAAAATTACCAATTCAGGGGCAGCAACCCAACAACGTGTTGCCTGATTGGTCCGAAAATTTCAGGGCAGATAGATCTTGACCTAATGAACAATTTTATCCTCATCAGATTTGCTCTAAATGCTTTGGTTTCAGAGATATGAGCCAAAAACTGCATTTTACCCTATGTATTATTTTTTAGCCATGTCGGCCATCTTGGTTCGCGGGCGGGGTCATCGGACACATTTTTTAAACTAGATACCCTAATGATGGTTGTGGACAAGTTTGGTTAAATGTGTCTTAGTAGTTTCAGAGGAGAAGATTTTTGTAAAAAATTACAAAAATTTACGAAAAATGGTTAAAAATTGACTATAAAGGGCAATAACTCCTTAAGGGGTCAACTGACCATTTTGGTCAAGTTGACTTATTTGTAGATCTTACTTTGCTGAACATTATTGCTGTTACAGTTTATCTTTTTCTATAATAATATTCAAGATAATAACCAAAAACGGCAAAATTTCCTTAAAATTACCAATTCAGGGGCAGCAACCCAACAACGGGTTGCCTGATTGGTCTGAAAATTTCAGGGCAGATAGATCTTGACCTTATGAACAATTTTATCCTCATCAGATTTGCTCTAAATGCTTTGGTTTCAGAGATATGAGCCAAAAACCGCATTTTACCCTATGTACTATTTTTTAGCCATGTCGGCCATCTTGGTTCGCGGGCAGGGTCATCGGACCCATTTTTTAAACTAGATAACCTAATGATGATTGTGGACAAGTTTGGTTAAATTTGTCTAAGTAGTTTCAGAGGAGAAGATTTTTGTAAAAGATTACAAAAATTTACGAAAAATGGTTAAAAATTTACTATAAAGGGCAATAACTCCTTAAGGGGTCAACTGACCATTTTGGTCAAGTTGACTTATTTGTAGATCTTACTTTGCTGAACATTATTGCTGTTTACAGTTTATCTCTATCTATAATAATATTCAAGATAATAACCAAAAACGGCAAAATTTCCTTAAAATTACCAATTCAGGGGCAGCAACCCAACAACGGGTTGTCTGATTCATCTGAAAATTTCAGGGCAGATAGATCTTGACCTGATACACAATTTTACCCCATGTCAGATTTGCTCTAAATGCTTTGGTTTCAGAGATATAAGCCAAAATCTACATTTTACCCCTATGTTTCCAAGTATAGATGAATATGCTGATTTCATTCAGATCATGAATAAAACTTGCTTTAACCATAAACCAAAATACGCAGGAGTTTAATACTATTTCAAAATGTAATTTCCCATTCTTTTTTTTCTCTGATCGTTGCTTGTTGGTGGTATCTTAATTTATGATTTTTGTAGAAAATAAAAAAAAAAATTTCTGATACGATGTATTAAAAATTTAAAATACTACCTTTGTATTGGAGAAGCTTTTCTATGTGTATCAGTAAAATCATCTGACATTTCATCATCAGAATCCAAATCTTCAACAGTTGATTCTAAACCATTATTCATCCTTCCTTCCTTCCTTTCATTCGAATCTGAGATGTTATTTTTCAAATGCTGAAGTTCTTTTTCAGCCTTATCAGCCCTATCTATCAAATCACTTATAAACTTTTCTAATTTTTCTCTGGCTATTGCTTCTTTCTCTGCTGTTGTGGTTAAAAATGTTTTCAATGACTGCAGCTCTCTGAAAATAAGACAAATTTATATATATATATAGTTTAAAGTTGGAAAGAGGGTTTATTTTTGGTAATTTTGCAATTAATATAAAATTGCAAAGGTATACCCTGTGTTAATTTGATCTTTATGGAAGATCAGAATTAGGGACATAAAACAATCAAACCTCTCAAAAAGATTCAATTTAGAAAATTCTGAATTTTAATCTTTGTAAAAACAACCCACTTTACAGTATGGAATGTACATGTTAATATCAAGCACTATTTTTATAGATGACATTGGCACTGTGAATGACTTTAAACAACAACTCAGCAATGCCACAAGAAAAATAGAAACTGCATCTGTAATGTCACTTTTATACTCAACAACCATTCACATTACAAGTTATAACTGGAGGTTCTAAAGAGCCTGTGTCGCTCACCTAAGTCTATGTGCATATTAAACAATGGATGGACTCTCTCCAACATTGTAAACAAAATCTTTTTTTTTTTTTTGTATTGCTCATCATTTTGTCTGTTTAGTTTCTCTCTATCCTTTTTTTTCTCAAAACACAAAAGAGGGTTGAAAAAAATCATCATTTAAGGGTAATCACTCCTATGAAGAGTGACAGCCTACTAACTATATCGACAAAATTTGACTTGCTGACCATTTTTGTTATTTAAAGTTCCTATTTATCTATTATAATTTTTATCATATAAGGCAAAATGCAAATAAATTGGTAAAAATCGTCATCAAAGGGCAATAGCTCCAATAAAGAGTAGTCGAAAAATTTCCTCCCTATTGTCTTAAATGTAGATCTTGTCTTACTGATCATTTTTGCTTATTTAAGTTTCTGTCTTTCGATTATGATTTTTAAGATATTAGGCAAAAATGCAAAAAATTGGTAAAAATCGTCATCAAAGGGCAATAACTCTAATAAGGAGTGGACTGCAAAAGTCATTCGTAGATCTTGTCTTGCTGATCATTTTTGAAACTCAAAGTTTCTTTCTATATATTAAAGTTTTCAAGATAATAGGCAAAAATGGAAAAAAATGGTAAAATTTGTCATTTAAGGCCAATAACTCCTATAAAAAGTTGCCTGACAGTTTTGATTGGTATAGTCATTTCGTACCCTTACCATTTCGTACCCCTCATTTTGTACCCTGGCAAAAACCATTTCGTACCCTTACCATTTCGTACCTCATGGAATATTTACATGTATACCATTTCGTACCTCATGGAAAATTTATATGTATACCATTTCGTACCTCATTGAAGATTTATATGTATGCCATTTCGTACCTCATGGAAGATTTTTATGTTTTTGATTTCTTGGTAAAAACTGTCTCATTGATATGCACCATTTCATACCTTATAGAAGATTTATATGTATACCATTTTGTACCTCATGTATAATTGGTATGTATACCATTTCGTACCTCATGGAAGATTTGTATGTATACCATTTCGTACCTCATGGAAGATTTGTATGTATACCATTTCGTACCTTATGCAAGGTTTGTATGTATGCTATTTCGTACCTCGTGGAAGATTTATATGGGCGGTAGACATCACGAGAAATGCCTAAAATTTAAAATTAAAGCACCTATGAGATAATGTATAGGAATAAAGTCAATAAACAAAATTTTTTGAAATATGTAAACTTTTCTGCCGATAACATTGATTTTGTTACTTTGGTATAAACTTGTAACTTAAGACACGTGCCGTACTGGCGTATTGTTTTAAAAAGGTAGCATTCTATTTAATTGGATTAAAAATGTTTATTGAATACACGTGCCATTTGAAATTGTGACGTGTGCCTAAATATTGAGATATATTCAATTGATTATCGTAAGGTGTAGTTGAACCTAAATGTATATATCATTTGCATGGATTTTTTTAAATAATACTTTTAGAAAATATGCAATACACACTAAAAAAAGATATTTACCAAACGTTTTTGAAATTTAGAAGGTTAGATATAAGGATACAAAATAAATGAACTTGTAATTTCTCAAATTGAAAAAGCCATAGCAAGTTCTTTGATTGGTCACATAAAGTGCAAATTCTTATGCAAACATTTTTATTCATGGCTTCCTTCTTTGGTGAATATCAGCTTGTGTCCCTTTTCACTGCATTTCCTGACAAAAACAACTGGTAATAACTATAAAATAAAATGCTCTGCTAGGTGCAAGCTTGATACGACCGCAGAGTTCGAACCCTGAACAGTTGAGGCAAGTATGGACACAACATTTAAGCTTAAAACAGCTCTGAATTTGGATTGTGATTGAATATTTGACACCGCATAGGTTTGTGACACAAAATGAATGTGGTCAAAGAACTGAAAAATTTGAAATTGGACATTTACCTAGCTATTATGGTCCAATATCCAAAATCTAAGTACATGGTTAGAATCAGCATACCAAAGAACCTCAAGAATTCAATTTTTGATGAAATCAAACAAAAGTTCAATTTAGGACCCTTTGGACCTCAATGTGGACCAAATTGATAAACGAGCCCAAAATCCAAAATCTAAATACATGCATAGATTCAGCATTTCAAAGAACCCTATAAATTCAATTTTTTTTTGTTGAAATCAAACAAAGTTTAATTTTGGACCCTGAAATGGACCAACTTGAAAACTGGGCCCAAAAATCCAAAATTTAAATACAGGTTTAATAATAGACAATATAAGCTTAGTTTTTAAAGGAGTTCGCTTAATCAAAAAAAAAAAATATAGCATTCAGAAAATTAGTTTATACAGAATAACAAACAAACCTACCACAAAATTCTTCAAACAATTTACCAAAGAAAAGAAAAAAAAATCCAAAATATAATTTATCATTAATACAATGTGTTTAAAAAATCTATAAAACTTATCTGTAATTATCTTCAAAATATCTAATAATGAACAGTAAATTTCAAACTATATTTATACGTCCTGCAGAGCTTATCATCAACAACACTTAGGAAACACAAAATTTTCAAATAAATCTGTCACTCGAATTATAATTGTGGGATTGATAATTACCACATTTTTTAATTTGTTATGTTGATAATAGGTGAAAATTATTTAAAAACACTTAGTGTATAATCAAACTTTATATATATAATTAATAGTTCCCAATATTTTTTCTTTCATTTGTCACAAACTAATATCTGCAACTTATTAATCAATGTCAACAACTTCATCTACACAATGTATTGTAATGAAATATATCCTTTAATAAAAATAGATTATTATCTAAAAATAACATTTTTTTTTTATTAAGATGTAACATACATAATGTATGGCACAATTGTATTTAAAAACTTCACTTACCTACACTTCCACTTCAACAGATGGACAAAGGTCTATTTTAATTTCCAAGGGAATTTTTAACCATAAGAAAATATTCAAACATGTTATCAATCTTTAAATAGAACAAATGCATACACAATTATCACCACAATTGATATATCTGAATCAGCAAATCTATTTTAAACTATGACTCAATTTAAAATTTCTATTAGTTTACAATAAATCTATAAATGTAGAGCTGGATTAACTATTTAATATCCCAACCCTCCTATTGTGGTTTGGAACATTGTGCTAAAATTTCTTACACATCCATACGCTTATACTAAAGTTATTGTCTGTGAACCAATTTATTTTCCATGAACCAGTGATGTAAACCACAAAAATAGTTCTCTAAAGTTAGATATGATTAATTGCGAAATAACATCTCTGAATTTTGATTCAGAGCAAATATGTAATAATAGCATAGGTTCTGACACAGAATGAATGTGGTATAAGTTCTTAAATAATTTTTAAATTGGACATTTACCAATTATGGTCCAATATTCAAATTCTAAATACATATTTGTATTCAGCATATCAAATAATAACCACGCTGTTTCATTTTTTGTTAAAATCAAACTAAGTTTTATTTTGGATACTTTGCCCTTTATGGGGTCCAGTTTGAAAAACGGGCCAAAATCAAAAATTTATGATTGCACACATTAAAGAACACCAATAATTTAATTTTTGAAGAAATCAAACAAAGTTTAATTTTAGACCCAAGTTTGGACCAACTTTGAAAACCGCAAGCACGAAATCAAAAATCTTACACTGTTGGAATGACCAAATCAAATAACACAAACAATTTAATTTTTGATGAAATCAAACAATGTTCAATTTTGGACCCCCATTTGGACCATCTTGAATACTGTGTCCAAAATCAAAAATCTAAATACACGTACGCTTAGATTCGGCTTATCAAAGAACCCCAAGAATTCAATTTTTTTTTTTAAATAAAAAAAAGTTTAATTTTGGACCCTTTGGACCTAAATGTGGACCGACCATGCCCCAAATCAAAAATCTAAATACACGCTTAAATTCAGCATATCAAAGAACCCCAATCATTCTTTTTTTTTTTTAAATCAAACAAAGTTAAATTTTTGACCCTTGGACCTGAATGTGGACTGACCATGCCCCAAATCAAAAATCTAAATACACGCTTAGATTCAGCATATCAAAGAACCCCAAGATTTCAATTTTTTTTTTAATTAAAAAAAGTTGTACTTTGGACCCTTTGTACCTTAATATTGACCAATTTGAAGACGGGCCACAAAATAAAAAAATCTAAATACACAATTAAATTCAGCATATCAAGGAACACCAATTGTTTAATTTTTAAAGAAATCAAACAAAGTTTAATTTTGGACCCTTTGGACCTTAATATGGACCATTTCAAAAACAGACCCTAAAATCCAATTATAAAAACCCACTTAGAATCAGCATATTAAAGACTCCCAAGAATTCAAGACTTTTGAATTAAACCCCATTGAAATTGCTAAAGAAATAAGCAATTTATACAAAGTATTTGTTTTGGCCCCTTTTAACTAAACCAATAGGGTCATAACCCCTAAAATCAATCCCAAACTTTATTTAATGGTATAACACCTTGTGGCACAATTAAATAGCAATAAATTAACTTATACTCAAGTTATTGTCCAGAAATCAGAAAATCTTTTTTGCCCCTTTTCAGC